ATGGAACACTGGGACGCCATGTCATCCGGACCAGAGAGGACAAGGATAACCCAAGTTGTTATCAACGCTCCGTTCAGAAGCCTGCATCACTGATGGTATGGGGTTGCATGAGTGCTTGTGGCATGGGCAGCTTGCATGTCTGGAAAGGCACCATTAATGCAGAGAACTATGTTCAGGTTCTAGAACAACATATGCTCCCATCTAGACGTCATCTCTTTCAGGGAAGACCCTGCATTTTTCAACAAGATAATGCCAGACCACATTCTGCAGCAATCACAACATCATGGCTACGTAGGAGAAGGATCCGGGTACTGAAATGGCCAGCCTGCAGTCCAGATCTTTCACCTATAGAGAACATTTGGCGCATCATAAAGAGGAAGGTGCGACAAAGAAGGCCCAAGACGATTGAGCCTGTATTAGACATGAATGGGAGAGCATTCCTATTTCTAAACTTGAGAAACTGGTCTTCTCTGTCCCCAGACGTCTGTTGAGTGTTGTAAGAAGAAGGGGGGATGCCACACAGTGGTAAAAATGGCCTTGTCCCAACTTTTTTGGGATTTGTTGACGCCATGAAATTTTGAAACAACATATTTTTCCCTTAAAATGATACATTCTCTCAGTTTAAACTTTTGATCTGTGATTTGTGTTCTATTCTGAATAAAATATTACATGTTGGCACCTCCACATCATTGCATTCAGTTTTTATTCACAATTTGTTTAGTGTCCCAACTTTTTTGGAATCCGGTTTGTAAATGAGTTGGATTTTGTGACTGAAGAACAGTGAATTCAGGACAGCACTGTAGTTTCTGTATATGGACTGGGATCTGTAGTTTTTTGGACTTTAGTGTAGACTGCAGTGTTTACATGCTATAAACTCTTTTATATCAATAATTGTTTTTTTCATGACATGGGCCCTTTAATGTGTATCTGCTGGTGTTGTGACTGTCAGAGCGGAAGTGTCACCTGTGTGTGGCCACAGCGGAAGTAAGAAGCTTGTTTAACGAGAAGTGATCTGTCACTGTCACACCACACACGCTCCTACTCCATGAGCTGTTTGTCATGTTTTGAGTCTCTAAGCAGAAACGGTACAAGAATAAACCTAGTTTAGCACATGAATGAAGCACAGGTGTTGAATTCCCCTCTCCAGGCTCCGCCCACAACCATATTCTACTGTTGTGAAGCTGTAGAAGCTTTACTTTAGTGTGCTTTAATCCTTTAGTCACTGTTTCGTTTCAGATCCAGCATAGTACACAACAAAACAACAACAACTGGGTCACTGAACTGAGTCTCTCTATTTATATCTGTTCAGTAGGATAAAGGTAACCCTGCTGATGTCCTGTGGAGAGCGCTGTGGAGAGGATGATGGTGTTTTTAGTGTAATTGCGGATTAGGTTCTATAAATAAAGTTAGTCCAAATCTCTTAACACTCACACTTCCTGTGCTTTTCTCATGTACGCCCAGGGTTGGAATGTAACAGAATACAAGTATTGGCAAATATGTTTTCAGAATACAGAAGTAAGTATTTGTATTCAATCCAAGTTACATTTTGTAATAACCGTATTTAGAATACGGTTACTTTTTCATTTTTGGAGTATAATTTTGGAATGCTTTCCCCCTTAAATTGAAGAAATATATACCATCTTCAAAAGAAAGACACCAATGTTTGTATGTTATTTAAAATCAGTGCAAGAGTTGTAGCAAATGAAAGCCTGAGTAGACTGATAAATCAATGTGATTAGTTATTGATCTGTGTTACTGAGCTCTGCTAAAGCCTGAGTAGACTGATAAATCAATGTGATTAGTTATTGATCTGTGTTACTGAGCTCTGCTAAAGCCTGAGTAGACTGATAAATCAATGTGATCAGTTATTAATCTCAGTGTTACTGAGCTCTGCTAAAGCCTGAGTAGACTGATAAATCAATGTGATCAGTTATTGATCTCAGTGTTACTGAGCTCTGCTAAAGCCTGAGTAGACTGATAAATCAATGTGATTTGTTATTGATCTGTGTTACTGAGCTCTGCTAAAGCCTGAGTAGACTGATAAATCAATGTGATGATCAGTTATTAATCTCAGCGTTACTGAGCTCTGCTAAAGCCTGAGTAGACTGATAAATCAATGTGATCAGTTATTAATCTCAGTGTTACTGAGCTCTGCTAAAGCCTGAGTAGACTGATAAATCAATGTGATGATCAGTTATTAATCTCAGTGTTACTGAGCTCTGCTAAAGCCTGAGTAGACTGATAAATCAATGTGATTAGTTATTGATCTGTGTTACTGAGCTCTGCTAAAGCCTGAGTAGACTGATAAATCAATGTGATCAGTTATTAATATCAGTGTTACTGAGCTCTGCTAAAGCCTGAGTAGACTGATAAATCAATGTGATTAGTTATTGATCTGTGTTACTGAGCTCTGCTAAAGCCTGAGTAGACTGATAAATCAATGTGATTAGTTATTGATCTGTGTTACTGAGCTCTGCTAAAGCCTGAGTAGACTGATAAATCAATGTGATGATCAGTTATTAATCTCAGTGTTACTGAGTTCTGCTAAAGCCTGAGTAGACTGATAAATCAATGTGATCAGTTATTAATCTCAGTGTTACTGAGCTCTGCTAAAGCCTGAGTAGACTGATAAATCAATGTGATCAGTTATTAATCTCAGTGTTACTGAGCTCTGCTAAAGCCTGAGTAGACTGATAAATCAATGTGATTAGTTATTGATCTGTGTTACTGAGCTCTGCTAAAGCCTGAGTAGACTGATAAATCAATGTGATTAGTTATTGATCTGTGTTACTGAGCTCTGCTAAAGCCTGAGTAGACTGATAAATCAATGTGATTAGTTATTGATCTGTGTTACTGAGCTCTGCTAAAGCCTGAGTAGACTGATAAATCATTGTGATTAGTTATTGATCTGTGTTACTGAGCTCTGCTAAAGCCTGAGTAGACTGATAAATCAATGTGATTAGTTATTGATCTGTGTTACTGAGCTCTGCTAAAGCCTGAGTAGACTGATAAATCAATGTGATCAGTTATTAATCTGTGTTACTGAGCTCTGCTAAAGCCTGAGTAGACTGATAAATCAATGTGATGATCAGTTATTAATCTGTGATACTGAGTTCTGCTAAAGCCTGAGTAGACTGATAAATCAATATGATCAGTTTTTAATCTCAGTGTTACTGAGCTCTGCTAAAGCCTGAGTAGACTGATAAATCTATGTGATCAGTTATCAAGTTGACCTCAGTGGAAAAAATAAAATGCAAGAAAAATGTAGGATACATACAGTATCCAGTATTGGTGATAAAAAAACCAAGAGGTTGTTTTTTTTGATATTTGTGGGTTGAACTGATATGTATGAGCAGGAGGCATTAGCGAGGAAGGAGTGCTGCTTTCAGAGGAGCTAAAGCTAACGGCTAACAGCTGTAATGCTAAATGGTAAAAGAGGGCTCGTTTTCTACACAGGAACTTTCCTCCTTGTTTAATCATATGTCCAGCTTGTTGAGCCATTAATGTTCTTCAGAAATACATATTTAATCATGAAAGCAAGTAAATGGACCTCGTACAGCCTCGCTAACTGTCGTGTTTGATATGCTAATACAGGAAACGACACCATTGGCAAGCTGGAAATATGATATTTTGCCGTTATCGTGATAACTTATGTCACAATATGCTTTTCTGAGTGTATTGTTTACATTGTCAGTACTTAAAAACCACTGTGCAACACAATGTGCAACTATATTGTTTTTCATTTTATATTATTCTTCTTTTTATTATTCGGATTTTTTTGCCAGATGTTTGCTGTGTAACTTGTCCTGCAGTTTTCAAGATATCAACACCGTTTTAATTCCAAATCATCTGGCCTGATTGTGTGATTCAGGCTTGTATCCAGCTTTTTGATTGGATGCACAGTTTTTGTACAATCTTTGTTAAATTCAGATTTTTTTTCCATAGGAATGAATGGGGTGAAAAAATGCACGACCATCTACTGTACTTCTGCTGGACCCAAAGACACCGTTTCACACATACTATCTCAGGGACAGGCCCCCGAGCACGAATTCACTGTTGTTGTGGCCCATAGTCATCTGTTTGTCTTTTTTTTTCCATCCCTCATTTCTCCCATAGACTCCCATTCATTTTCACACCACATAAAAAAAATACTTTGTTGTCTGCCACCAAACAACCATGGTAGCCACCTAGCAACACCTTAGCAACCACCTGTGATACCACAGCAACCACCTCGCAACCTAGCAGGAAGTGTGAACCATTTGAGCTGCGCAGCCATTCTGCGTTACCTTCAGGAAATACACATTTCTAGTTATTATTAAGATTATTAATTATTTTTATTAGTAAAAAATATTTTATAATAATTAGACTAATAATTATTATTATTGTATTTTTATATGTAACACTACAGGTTTTATTTTGTGTTCCAATTTATTAAATTATATATATATATATATATATATATATATATATATATATATATATATATATATATATATATATATACGTGATGCATGTCATGTATCATAAAAATGTCTTGATGTGTATCAGACTGTGTTACTGTAGTATATTTTATTCTATACACATTTCGGATTACATCAGTTTAAAGCAGTATTTTGTGTGTGTGTGTGTGTGTGTGTGTGTGTGTGTGTGTGTGTGTGTGTGTGTGTGTGTCCGTGTTAGTGTGTGTGCGTGTGTGTGGTATGCTAGGCGTGTGTTAGAGTTGTGCAACAGCGACTTTAGCAGCCAAGTCTGAAAGAGGAGGAGGGGATTGAGGGCACAGCCTGAATAAGCTCAATTAGTGTGCAGCAGGGAGAGTGAGGGGTATTAATGAGTAGCCCGAGTTAGCTGAGTCAACGCTTAGGATTACGGAGGAGTTCTGTTTCTCTGCTGGAAATGTCAGCCTAACTTCAGAAACAGCTAAAGCTTCCTGTTCCAAACTGTGTGTATGTGTGTGTGTGTGTATGTGTGTGTGTGTGACGATCTTTCTGCTGTATTTATAGGACGTCACAGTGTTTGAAAAGGAGAAGGACATCATATCTATCGTAAGTCTTTTTACGTTCTTATCTATTATTTGTATCCTGCTTGATAATCAAAGTTAAAAGGGAACTCCACCAGTTTTTAAAAATATCTGCCTAGTTCAGTTGTTTAAGCTATTTAGAGCAGTTTGGTGTGAAATGGTTCAGATGTCTTTACAGTGGTGGTGATAGGAACCAGGGGTCACCATGACTGCAACACAAATATAGACATTTTGTTTACTATCCAAACCACCAGTGAACCTACACAAGTTTTATATGGAATGTTGATGATGGTAAAATAGTGGAAAATATAAAATAATAAGTTTTCTTTGGGGACTATTTTGCCTCACAACACGCTGCATGTTATGTATCCCTCCACCATGACTGGACTTTAACGCCAAAATCTTCTCAAAACTATCGTAAAACGGTGTCTCAGACATCAGGTAGTGAATTCATAACAATTTCATATAATACCTTTCTGTGAGGGAGCTTTTAGAGGTGGACGTCTGGTTCTTATCACCACCACTGTGAACAATTCTGACTCTGTAGGTTCATCTAGAACAGAACATTTCACACCAAACCACTCTGAATAACTTTTAAATGAGAAAATTGGTGTAGTTGTCCTTTAACGCCATTTATAAAATGGGCATGTGATCACTTACAGTGTGGTGAAAATAATCTGTAATAATATTCTGTATTAAGTTATCATAAAAATTGTCAAATTTTCAAGTTTGTTACTGTGAAAGAAGTACTCTGCTCAAAGCATGAAAGCAAATTAATTTTATATGTTACTGGAAAAATAAAATCTTTTGTCCAATAATTAAATCATAAATACATTTAGAATCATTTATTGAATGGTTGTTTAAATCTTGCCCCTCCAGTCTCGCCAGTTGGTGGGAATCTGTGATGAAATTCTCAGCAGTGTTCCAGAGGCTGTTCTTACCCACAGTGCTCAGCTGCACAGTGTAGACCTGGTGCCCATCTCACCTGGAGACCAACTGGTATTAAACCCTCCTTTATCTCTCCCCCTCACTCGGTCTCCTCCTCTCTCTCTCTCTCTCTCTCTCTCTCTCTCTCCTTTTTCTTTCTCTCTCTCTTCTTCCCCTCTCTTGTTCCCTCTCTCTGCATTCTTATTTTCTCTCTTCTTCTTCTTCCTCTCTCATTTTCCCAATCTCGCTATCTTTCTTCTCTCTCCTTCTCTTTATTTATGTCTCTTTCTCATTCTCTTTCTGCTCTCTCTCTTACTTTTTCACTATCTCTCTCTCTTTCTTTCTCTCGCTTTTTTCTTTCTCCCCCTCTTACTCTCTCTCTCCACTCTCTTTTTCTCTCTTCACTATCTTTGTCCATTCTTCTTATTCTCTCTTTCCTCTCTCTCCCTTTCTTTATTTCTCTCTCTCTCTCTCTTTTCCTTCTCTCTCTCTTCCTCTCTCTCTTTTCTCTCTCTGCATTTTTACTCTTTCTTCTCTCTCTCTCTGGTTCTCCTTTTTTTGTTTGTTTTCTCTCTCTCTCTCTCTCTCTCTCTCTCTCTCTCTCTCTCTCACTGTGGTTCTCTTTTTTGTTTATATGTCTCTTCTTATTTTCTTTCTTTCTTTTTCTTTCTCTCTCTCTCTCTCTCTCTCTCTCTCTCTCTCTCTGGTTCGTCTCTCATCAGACATCATTACAAAATCAAGCCGATTAGATTTCAGTCCCGTTGAGAGTCTTTGTTTGTTGTTGCAGACGGATTTTGAACATTCTCAGTGAGTTATGTAAAATTCCTCTTTCTTCATCTCAGGCCGCTGCTCAGGGTGAAGTAATCGTTAACTGGTGCCCATTCCGTTACTTATTAGCTGCATTAGCTCGTCACTCTGGTGTGAAACTGAAGAAGCAAACTTCAGACTTCATGTGAAAACACTAAGACCTAAATATACGTGGTCTGTCCAAAAGTATTCAGACAGCCTGTTTAATGAGTGAATTCAGCTACTTTCAGTTACAGTAGCTTTTATAATCTATATAGAGAAGCACTGACCAGTAGGATGGGATGCTCTGGTGCAGCTACATAAGCCTATGGTCACCATGCCCAATGCCAAGTGTGGGCTAGAGGGGTATAAAGCCCCCCAGCACTGGGCTGTGGAGCAGTAGAACTGTGTTCTCTGGAGTGATGGAGCTCCATCCACTGGATGGATGGATGGATGGATGGATAGATAGATAGATAGATAGATAGATAGATAGATAGAACAGTAATGTTCAACATCTAGTGTAAAGCCTTCCCAGAAGAGTAGTGGCTGTTACTGTAGCAAAGGAGGACAAACTGTTAATACCAGAAGAAACGCTGGTGTCTACAAACTTTTGGACACAATTTTTTGAAAATGAGCTTGTGGTTTTGCTTTCCAGGGTATTGAGATCACCTCCTCTGCATCCAACCATCACTACATCTCCGGAACAGCCGCTGAGGTACCAACCGCTTCTCTTTATTCCTTTATCATTCAGTCATGTGCTGAATCGAAGCAGTAAACACATTTCCGTCTAAGCCAGGGGATGGCAACAATGAAAATGAAAATGAAATGAAATGAAATGAAATGAAACAAGCAGCTCTTTTACTGCCCTGTTGTGGCTCCACAGCAGAATCAGATTTGTAGGTAAAATAAAATAATCCTCCTTTGCAGTAAAACAAAAGCTCTGCTGATCGTTCAACACAGTTTTAACAATAAATGGTCCTAAATGCTGGAGTTACTGTAGAACTGCTATTTCACCCTTTAACCCAGAAGATAAGTGCAGAATGCTGGTCACCATAGCAATGCAGACAACAATATCGCCTAGCTAGTAGCTAAAGAAAAGGTAAAGAGGAAGATTTAAGACGAACATCGATAATTCAGAGATGAATAGGCATTTTGCATTTGTGATCACTCCAGCTGGTTTCCTCATGCGTTTAATCTGCAACGTGAAACTGTCACACATTAAGAAGGTGTGAAACTGAAGTCAGCTTCTCATTCGCCAGCTTCTTGTTTGAATTTACCCGTTCCACCTTAAATGATACAGTGGTTACATTTTGGCACCTGGAGAATGAAAAGCTGACTTCAGTCTCGTAAGAAGTCGAACGTTGGGAGACATTTTATAAGAAGCTATTCACCTTTTGAGGAAATGCTTCCTGCTCAGTCTGTGTAAGTCTGTGTTTTTGTTTAGATTATATTCTTTAGCCTATACTAGCACATTAGCACATACTGGGACATATTTACAGAGAAGATGGTAAAATGGACGTAAAATTTTGTGGCTCTTTTACTCCAGTGTTAACCATGTCAGTGCAAATGCACAGAGAACCAGAGCTAGAATGCAGCTGTGCATCACTTTCTGCTTTAGGCCAGACCAAGAGGACCCAGTCCTTCTAGAGCCACTCATGAGCTCTTCTACAGAGAATATATTGATACTGGCAATAGAGGCTGTAGAAACAAGATGGGGGAGGGGTGGGTAGGGATAGAGGGGGGGTAGGAGTAGGCGGGGGGTAGGGATGGGGGGGGGCAGGGGGAGAGAAGGAGAAAGAAGGGAAGGGGAGAGAGAGAAAGTGAGAGTGAAGTCTGAAACTGCTCGTGCTTTAGGAATCACAAACACCAACGCTGATGGCTTTTCACTTCTCGAAAACCCCCATCATCCCAGTGCTGCCCCCACCGCTCCGGGTTTCAGCACACACCCAAATTAGAGCACATCTACTCTTTAAAAAAAGATTTGCTGTTCAAACAGAGATATAAACAAAGTCATTCAGAGTGGTTTGGTATGAAATGATCCGTTCTAAAGTCAGAATTGTTCACATATTTAAGGTCAGTATTCATGGCCGATGGATAAATGCAGGGTAAAGTAAATAAATAGGAAATTAGATTGTAAATAAAATGCCTATATTTGTGTTGTAGCCATGGCGACCCCTGGTTCCTATCACCACCACTGTAAAGAAATCTGAACCATTTCACACCAAACCACTCTGAATCCCTCTGTTTACATCTCAAACACTGAATTATGAAGACATTGTGGAAATACAGTGGAGTTCCTCTTTGACAGAGCAGTTAAAGGAATCTATTGCTTGAATATGCTAATATGAACAGAAGCTAGCAGGGGAGCTGAATCTTATTAGCATAATGCTAATGCTGTCTAGTTAGAAGTCACACATTTTTTGCAATCCAAAAAGCATTTTTGGAAATACACATTTGACTACAGACTTCTAGAAATCCTACAGAAATACAATGAAGTCATTTCATTGCATTGCATTTCATTGCTTATTTAATTTTTATTTATTGCTATTTGTGTCTTGTGTTTCTGCCTTTACTTGTAAACTGTCACATATTAATATTATTATTATTATTATTATTATTATTATTATTATTATTATTAGATGGACACCTAAGGACACCTTTTCAACCACTCCTTTATTGTTGCTATTGTGATTACAATAAAATAATGTTATGAACATCACGTTTGTCCTTTCAAAAGATCAGTAAAGTATATTTGCACTATATGCGAATGTAAGTGCATATAAATGAATAATCTATGTGCCATTTCTCTTCCTTGGCTCGGTCACAGTCTCCAGCAGAGTTCTCGGAGAAGATCTTGGCGGGAGACGAGGTCATTCAGGTCAACGACCAGATTGTGGTGAGTAAACTCAATTACAGCAGATTACTGACATTAGCCTGATAGTAATATTACAGGCCTTCATTTGCATAATTATCATTATAAATGCAGGCCAGTAATGAGGAGGGTGTGGCCTGAGTGACCTCTGTGTCATTAATTAGTCATGCTGCACTTTTTTAAGGGGACATGGTTAGATTTAGTTTGTCAAATGCTCTGTCGCGATATTAGTAAAGGAAAATGAATTAATCATTTAGCTAATTATTCATCTGTTGAGTAATTAAAAAAAAATCTATAAGGAACCGATGAGCAACCTATGCTATGCTAACTGCTTCTTTATAGCTTTCTTTCACACTGTTAGCCATGTGAGCGTCTTTGGTGTAACTATTCTGTTCTGTGCTGTATCCCAGGTGGGCTGGAGCAGGAAGAACCTGGTGGAGAAGCTTCAGGAGAACCCTAAGGGGGTGTTTTTACTGCTGAGACGCGCTCCGGTGTCTTTCATACGGAAAGAGAAAACCGAATCTGTATCCGTCGCTCCATCGCACAGCAAACAAGCAGAATCTGTCTCCTCAGAGGTGAGTCTGATCTCTGTCTGATCTCCCATCCATATATCCACACGCACATCTGGTCTAAGCGCGACAGTGATGTCAAGGCCCTTAGAGGATTACTCCGCCTGGATATGCTGATATGATTCGCAATTAATGAGCACTAATAGGGTAGCATATACTCATTAGCATAATGCCAGCAGCCTTCTAGTAGATTTTATTCATTTTTAAGCAGCCTGAGCAATTTTGACAACATATTCTTTTAGCCTCACTTGTTCCAACTGTTCTGACTGTTACTTACCCCAAATGTAGTCGGTCAGCCGCGACGTTTGGTAGCCGAAGTTTGTACTATGAATTATTCAGTAACTACTATAATTTATTCAGTATCTACTACAAATTATTCAGTATCTACTATAATTCATTTAGTGCAAAACCTTCAGTGTTGCACTGGTGCGAGTGGATCAGACAGCAGTGCTGCTGGAGTTTGTAAATACTGTGTCCACTCACTGTCAACTCTATTAGACACTCCTACCCTGTCAGTCCACCTTGTAGATGTAAAGTCAGAGACAATAGCTCATCTCTTGCTGCACAGTTTGTGTTGGTCATTCTCTAGTCCTTCATCAGTGGTCACAGGACGCTGCCCACAGGACACTGTTGGCTGCATATTTTTGGTCCTGTGGGGGTCCTGACCATTGAAGAACAGGGTAACAAAGTATGCAGAGAAACAGATGGACTACATTCTGTAACTGTAGAACTACAAAGTGCTCCTATATGGTCAGTGGAGTGGAGTGGAGATAAAAGGAGGTTATGGCTGATTGGTTTATGTTTATCTGCATATGTCCAGTTTTAATTGAGTACGATTTTGGTAAAATCACTTAAGTGTAATTTCTCTGTACTTTTTACTTGTTAGCCACATTAGCCACGTAGCTCCAGTGCTAAAACTAAAGAAGCAAACCTGAGACAGGTTGAATAGTGACGGAGGAGATGACCTCATCTTTTGTAGTCGTAGCTCGTTGAGTTGCTTTACCCAGTTCCACACATGACTGGTCACACCTTCTATATTTTCTGTCCAGAGGGAGTGGTCGCTATGACGACGCTGACTTCCTCTTCAGCCTCTGGAGAATCGTCTCCATGTCTGCTGTGTGATGATGGTGTGGTTGAGTCGTGTGATCTTGTGATTGGAGTTTATAAATCTCGGTGAGGTTTTGAGGGATGTGTCTTCTCTCTAAGCGGACCTAGATTCTCACTGTGTGGCCTACAGCAGCATCTCTTACATTTCAAAAGAGCCTCATGACTCTTTCAGTGACTCACACTTTCACTGTCTTCACACACACACACACACACACACACACACACCTACCTCTACAGTGCTGTGCAAAAATCAGAGACCCCATTTATTTATTTCATTTCCAGTCAAAACATCCATTTAGCAAAAGTAGAAAACATATATTTAACAGAACAACAGCTAAATCTTATATCAGCTGTTTGAGTCTTCAGTGAGTCACTCTTTAGCTTTATTACAGCTTCCATTCTTTTCAGGAGACTCACTTTCAGTTTCTTAAAGAAATCTGCAGACACACCTCCAAAGTTCAGTCTTAGAAGTTGGTTGATCATTTTCTGAAGTAATCAAACCCATTCAGTGGTGTTGAGGTCTGGACTCTGGGGTGGTCAGTCCATTGTTCAGCTTCTTTGTTTGATGTGTCTCCTTTTCTCAGTGAGGTTCTTCTTGACAGCTACACATCCTTTCAGACCCACAGCGCTGAGTTGTCTTCTCACAGTGGAAAGATGGACAGAAACACCTGTGGATGTTTTCAGATCTGAAGCAGCTTGATTTTCTCCTCTCTATCAGAGATGAAAGCTTTAAGTGCTGTTTATCTGATGGGGGCAGTTTTGGTGTCTACCAGGTCTTCCAGATGGTTGTTAGGGGCAGGGTTGTTATAGCTAACTAAAACTAGCCCTAAAACAAAAACTATTAGTGAAAAAACATGCTTGTTAACTATAATAAAAATAAAAAAAAAATCTAAAACACAAAAATGAAATCAAAACTAACTGAGCTCAGTGTACTCTTGTTATTTTTACTCTGCTCTTATCAAATACCTTCTGTCGCAACACTCATCATAACACTAAAACTAAAACTGAAACTAAATAAAGACTGAACTAAAACTATTAATGCACCCTTAAGACTAACTGAAACTAAACTGAAAGTAAGAATTAAAATAAAAAAAATAAAATAAAATAAAAACTAATGATTTTTTTTTAATTATATTAACCCTGGTACTGAGTGTCATTATCTTGGTAGCTTCTAATCGTAACTTCTGTTTTTCACTTATTTTCCTTTGACCTCTTTATGCGTGTTGATTATCTTAGATCTAATCTCCTCACTGATACCTCTTTCAGTCATGTTAGATGCACATGAATGAGAAATATGCAAGGCAGCTGAGGTGAGTTTGGGTAGATGTTTGTGTGGATGTTCGAGTCTCTTTGAAGCGAAACATAACGTCAGTGACTCCTTTGGGAAGCTGTTGTTGAGAGTTCATGGCTGGAACTGGTTGGTTTTAAAGACTACATGTTGAAAATATCTGTTATTTTTAGTTCATTTTTATTTAATAGAGTCATAATGATTGTTGTATTTGAACTCTGTAAGTGTTGTAGTAATACCCTTATTTCATTGTTAAGTTTTGACTGGAAACAAAGGGGTTAAAGTCTTGAGATGTCCAATGGAAAATGATCCAATCAGAATTGTTTTCTCTGTGGTATCTAGGTAGGTACAGCCAAGCGAGCTCTCCCATTGGTTAGGACTTCAGGAGTTCAGGAGCTGAACTGAAGGCCTTACACGTTAATTAACTACCAACAGAATTAGGAAGAGGCAGAGGAATCAACCGATCACACTTTGGAACCAATTTAGTGAGAAAAAAGTCAAAGTCTGTAAATTTATCAGGTCAAAGCAGGTTCTGGGTAGTTCTTAGGAATGTAAAACGGAGGCAGCAGCTCAATGCCACTCTTTACTGAAAAAGTTACCGTAAAACTGACACATACAAGCTCAGATATATGTTAAAATCTGTTATAAGTTTCAATTAAAACACAATAAATATTCTTTACAAGCTTCAAATGTCTGTGCTTAATCCAAAATGGCCAAAAATGGTTCATATTCAACAATGTTATCAGAAATTAGCATTACGGTAAAGGTGAAGCCTGAAGGTCTGGCGCTTATAGCTGCTGATACACGTGGTCAGTCCTTCTCAGAAGCAGAAGTGGTCCTTGTCTGTGGGTGTTTGATACTCTGCTGGTGAAGTAACGGAAAACCCCTTCTCTGTTTCTCTTAGAGGGAAGAAGAAGAGGAGGAGGAGGACGAGACGAACAGGGGCTCCGTCTTTGAGAGAGTAGCTTCATCCATCCGCTCTAGTGTGTCCAGGTGAGCTTATCTACTGCTTTACATGCACCTACCGCTGCTCTACTAGGATGGTCTTCGTCCTCAGGTGAACTGAGACATCCTGCCTAAATTCAGCTGCTGATAGAAGCATCTCCTGTGCTTCCATTCTGTGTTGCTTATTATCAGTCTATTGCTGTAGTTATTACTGTTTGATGCTTGAGCTTGTAACCTGACTGGCTTATATTTTTATTGAACTTCAAATGATAAGTGTACCAAATGTACACGCAGATTACTGTAGATGTTGTGTTAGTGTAATTGGTGGTGTTTACACTGTAGTAGATGTTGTATTGGTGTTATTGGTGGTGTTTACACTGTAGTAGATGTTGTGTTGGCGTTGTTGTTGGTGTATGCACTGTAGTTAATGTTGTATTGCTGTAGTGGATGTTGTGTTGGTGTTATTGGTGGTGTTTACACTGTAGTAGATGTATTGGTGTTATTGGTGGTGTTTACACTGTAGTAGGTGTTGTATTGGTGTTATTGGTGGTGTTTACACTGTAGTAGATGTATTGGTGTTATTGGTGGTGTTTACACTGTAGTAGGTGTTGTATTGGTGTTATTGGTGGTGTTTACACTGTAGTAGATGTTGTATTGGTGTTATTGGTTGTGTTTACACTGTAGTAGATGTTGTATTGGTGTTATTGGTGGTGTTTACACTGTAGTGTATGTTGTATTGGTGTTATTGGTGGTGTTTGCACTGTAGTGGATGTATTGCTGTTATTGATGGTGTATACACCGTGGTAGATGTTGTATTGCTATTATTGGTGGTGTTCACACTGTGGTAGATGTTGTATTGCTATTATTGCTGTTGTTCACACTGCAGTAGATGTTGTATTGCTGTTATTGATAGTGTGTACACTGTAGTAGATGTTGTATTTCTGTTATTGGTGATGTTTACACTGTAGTAGTTTTTGTATTGGTGTGTTTACAATGTAGCAGATGTTGTATTGGTGTTCCTGGTGGTATTTACACTGTATTATATGTTGTATTGGTCTTATTGGTGGTGTTTGCACTGTAGTAGATGTAGTGCTGTTATTGATGGTGTATACACTGGTAGATGTTATATTGCTGTTATTGGTGGTGTTCACACTGTAGTAGATGTTGTATTGCTGGTATTGATGGTTTATACTGTAGTAGATGTTGTATTGCTGTTATTGGTGGTGTTTACACTGTAGTAGACGTTGTATTTCTGTTTTTGGTGATGTGTACACTGTAGTAGTTGTTGTATTGGTGTGTTTACACTGTAGTAGATGTTGTATTGGTGTTATTGGTGGTGCTTACATTGTAGTAGATGTATCAGTGTTATTGATGGTGTTTACACTGTAGTAGATGTTGTATTGGCGTTCTTGATGGTGTATACACTGTAGTAGATGTTGTATTGGTGTTATTGGTGGTGTTTACACTGTAGTAGATGTTGTATTGGTGTTATTGGTGGTGTTTACACTGTAGTAAATGTATTGGTGGTGTTTACACTGTAGTAGATGTTGTATTGCTGTAGTAGATGGTGTTTTGATTTTATTAGTAGTGATTACACTGTAGTAGATGGTGTACTGGTGGTGTTTACACTGTAATAGATGTTGTATTGGTGTTATTGGTGGTGTTTACACTGTAGTAGATGTTGTATTGGTGGTGTTTACATTGTAGTAGATGTTGTATTGGTGTTATTGGTGGTGTTTACACTGTAGCAGTTGTTGTATTGCTGTTATTGGTGGTGTTTACATTGTAGTAGATGTTGTATTGGTGTTATTGGTGGTGTTTACACTGTAGTAAATGTATTGGTGGTGTTTACACTGTAGTAGATGTTGTATTGGTGTTATTGGTGGTGTTTACACTGTAGTAAATGTATTGGTGGTGTTTACACTGTAGTAGATGTTGTATTGCTGTAGTAGATGGTGTTTTGATTTTATTAGTGGTGATTACACTGTAGTAGATGGTGTACTGGTGGTGTTTACACTGTAGTAGATGTTGTATTGGTGTTATTGGTGGTGTTTACATTGTAGTAGATGTTGTATTGGTGTTATTGGTGGTGTTTACACTGTAGCAGTTGTTGTATTGGTGTTATTGGTGGTGTATACACTGTAGTAGATGTTGTATTGGTGTTATTGATGGTATTTGCACTATAGTAGATGTTGTATTGGCAATCTTCATGGTGTATACACTGTAGTAAATGTTGTATTGCTGTTATTGGCGGTGTTTACACTGTAGTAGATGTTGTATTGGTGTTATTGTTGTCATTTACACTAGTAGATATTGTCTTGCTGGTATTGGTAGTATTCACAATGTAGTAGGCGTTGTGTTGCTGTTATTTATAGGTTTTACACTGTAATAGATGTTGTATTGCTGGTATTGGTGGTGTTCACAATGTAGTAGGAGTTGTATTGCTCTTATTGGCGGTGTTTAAACTGTAGTAGATGTTGTATTGCTGGTATTGGTGGAGTTCATGCTGTAGTAGGTGTATTCATAGTATTGATGGTGTTTACACTGTATTAAACAATGTAGCTATTGAATATACACTGTATTACCCATTGTACTATATTTGGTGTAGGTTTGATGTCATTGTTGAATGTTGTAATTAGGCTGTAAACTGCTTTTGTAATTAGCCCATACCCTAATCGTTTTTGTTTGTGCTAATGTTCTGTGTGTGCGTTGATGTAATTGTTCGAAGCTAGTTGTGCTGATAAGATGAACATTGTGGTTTTCTTAGTTTTTGGGATTAGCCCGGATTACTGCGTGTTTCGTTCTTGAACTCAGTAGCCAAGTGTGTGAGCCAGATTAACAGTGGTGGGAGTTTACGTGGTGAAACTGTAAGCTGGGGTTTTGTGGCTGAGTGACTGATGAAGTGAGATAATATGTGGTCATGCTCATGATGTGTGTGTGTGTGTGTGTGTGTGTTTGTGTGTGTGAATCCATGTTAAAGTGGGTTTTATAGCATTTTGGTGTTTGTAGTTTTACATTTGAATGTGTTGGTATATATGATGCATATTAAGTTAATGTCTGTTAATGTCTGTTTCAGGGTCTCAGTGTCGCCCCCTGATGGGCCGCAGCCAATAGTGCAGGACGATTCTGAGCTGTTAAGTGATCACAGCTTTGATGGGACCCCCACTGCACATGCCCACCAGCAGGGGGCAGGTAAGAATCAAGAGCACAGACTGAAAAAGAGAGAGGAGATAGTAGCGGGAGAGCTACGATCATCTACCATCACCTCACTGTGTGAGGTGGATTGGAGGGTTTTTAGCTGTTGTGTTCTCTTATTGGTAGATTTTTAACCATTCTGTTCTTCTATTGGTGGGATTTTAGCCATTCTGTTCTTCTCTTAGTGGCATTGTATGTACTGCGTTCTTCTATTGGTGGGTTTTAGCTATTCTGTTCTTCTGTTGGTGGGATTTTAGTCATTCTGTTCCTCTATTGGTGGGTTTTAGCTATTCTGTTCTTCTGTTGGTGGGTTTTTAGCTATAACAGTCCCCTGTTGGTGGATTTTTCACCCTTTTCTTCTCCTATTGGTGCATTTCTGGCCATGCCGTTTTCATATACCTGGATTTTTAGCCAGGCCAAACCCCTATAAGTGCATTTCTGCCTGTAACATTTTCTTATTCCTGGATTTTTAGCCCTGTGCTTCTTCTATTGGTGGTTTTTAGCCGTTCTGTTCTCCTATTGGTGAATTTTTAGCTTAGCCTCACACTGATGGATTCTTAGTCTTGCTGTTTGCTACTATTGGATTTTTAACAACGCCATTCTACAATTGGTGAATTTTAGTCATGTCATTCTCTTGTTGGTGGAATTTTAGCTGTGTCGTTTTCCTTTCAGTGGAAATTAGCCGTTTATGTTCTAGTATTGACGGATTTTTAGCCACACTACCTCACGTTCCAAAATATCTAACACAATTGTTTTTAACTTTTTTTTTATAATTCATAATTTTCATCTGTAACAGTTTACAGTGTTGTTTTGGCACCAGTAATAATGTATATATGTGTCTTCATGCAGCAAAGTCAGCTGTGTTAGCTAGCTAGGTAATTAGGCTACAGTTTTAGTGATGTGGTAGGTAGGGGGCACCAAACAGCATTAATATAGCAAACATCGCTGAGTGTCTACATGCTTTAGCTCTGCTGTCTCTCTCTGGTGTCCCAGGCTCTGATTCAGTGTTAGAGCACAGTGTGCTCACTGTGGAGAGAAGTCCATCCCCCCTCAGCCTGGACTCCAACCGGGCCAGGGTTGGCTCCTGCCCCGAGATGGTGGGCAATGTGGTGAGCTTTGCACATGCAGCCAGAAATCAGAAGCTAATACTTAAAAAATGAAACAGAAATTATTTACATCCCCATTTCCAAAAAAGTTGGGATGCTGTGCAGAATGTAAATAAAAATAGAATGCAATGATATGCAAATCATGTTAACCATATTTTTAAAGGAAAATACTACAAAGACAACATATCAAGTGTTGAAACTGAGAAATTTTATTGTTTTTTGTAAAATAGATGCCCAGTTTGAATTTGATGCCAAAAAAACATTCCAAAAAAGTTAGTGAAAGTGATATGTTAGTGAAGAAAGTGATATGTTTTCTCGTTCTTGTTTGATATAGGATTTCACCTGCTCAATATTTTGGGGTCTCTTTTGTCGTGTTTTTCATTTCATAATGCGCCAAATGTTTTCAGTGGTGACAGGTCTGGACTTCAGGCAGGCCAGTTTATCACCCGGACTTATTTAATACAGAGCAATGCTGTTGTAATACATGCAGCATGAGGTTTGGCACTGGCATTGCAGAAATAAGCAAGGCCTTCCCTGAAAAAGTCGTTGTCTGGATGGCAGCATATGTTGCCAAAACATGTATATATGGTTCAGCATTAATGTTGCCTTCACAGATGTGCACATCACCCATCCCATGTACACTAATGCAACCCTATACCATCATGAATACTGGCTTTTGAACTGTGCGCTGATAACAAGCTGAGTGGTCTTTAGCCTGGAGGAAAAGAATTTCAAATGTTGATTAGTCGGACCACAGGACACTTACTCCACTTCATTTTAAATGATCTCGGGCCCAGAAAAGGTGGCAGCGTTTCTGGGTCCTGTTTATGTAGTTTCTTCTTTGCTTTTTAGAGTTTTAATTTGCATTTGTGGATGCAGTGACGGAACTGTTTTCACAGACAGTGGTTTTCAGAAGTGTTTCTGAGCCCATGCAGTGATTTCCACTGGAGAATCATGTCTGCTTTTAATGCAGTGCCGCCTGAGGGCCCACAGATCACAGCCAGCAAATACTAGTTTTCGGTCTTGTCCCTTGCATACAGACATTTCTCGGGATTCTCTGAATCTTGTAATGTTATTATGTACCATAGGTGATGAAAAGCAAAAGTTCTTTGCTGTATCATGTTGGGAAACGTTATTCTTGAATTGTTGCACTATTTGCCTACACAGTCTTTTACAGAGTGGTGAACCCCTCCTCATCTTTACTTCTGAAAGACTCTCTGGGATGCTCATTTTATACCCAGTCATGTTACTGACCCATTGTCAATCAACCACCAGGTGTGTTTTTTTTAGCAATACACAACTTTAGCAGTCTTTTGTTGCCCCCAACTTTTTTAGAACATGTTGCTGGCATCAAATTCAAAATGGGCAAATATTTTTCAAAAAACAATAAAATTCCTCAGTTTCAACATTTGATATGTTGTCTTTGTACTATTTTCAATTAAGTATAGTCTTTAAATGATTTGCACATCATTGCATTTTGTCTTTATTTACATTTTGCACAGCATCCTAACTTTTTTGGAAATGGGTCAGTGTTTACACACGCAACACTTTTTTGGCTAAAAGTTGGATTTCATTCTGCTGACAGTTCTCTCTTTCGCCTGCAGGAGGAGAAGGAGAACAAAAAAAGCTCCACCAAAGGTACGACCTGGCTCTGTCAGCTAAAGCAAGAAACAGAGCAGTCTGAAAAGAGTGTGCTCAGTTTATAACAGCAAAAAATTTAACCTACGTCAGGGAAGACATTTACTGTTGGTGTACTAGATTTCTTTTTTAATGGGAGAATTTTTTTGTTACAACTCATTTGAATGGTGTGTGTAGTGATGCATTTCTTTATGTCATCTCTTTCTGATCACATCCACAATAATCTCAGGAAATGGTGTATCTGCCATTATGTTCATGGTCATACATGATAATTTTGAATCTTCAGCTGAACACAGTTCTGAGCCCTGTGGAGGTTTAGGGAAGGGGATTTTGTGTGCAGCTATCTTTAGAAGTCTGACTTTCACAAAGACCAAAGTTTTTGGAAAAAAAACATTGAGAAATGCTGAGCAGTGCTGTTCTCCTGTCGGAGGATTTTAGCCATTATGTTCTCCTGTTGGTAGACTTATTCATTATGTTCTCGTATTAGTGGATTTTATTTATTATGTTTTTGTATTAGTGAATTTTATCAATTTTGTTCTCCTATTGGTGGATTTCAGCCGTTATATCCTCATATTGGTGGATTTTAGTGGATTTTAGACATCATTTTCTCATATTGGTGGATTTTAGCCATTATGTTCTTATATTAGTGGATTTTAGTGGATTTTAGCTATTATGTTCTCCTATTTGTGGGTTTTAGCCATTATATTCTCATATTGGTGGATTTTATCCATTATGTTCTCATATTGGTGGATTTTAGCCATTATGTTCTCCTATTGGTGGATTTTAGCCCTTATGTTCTCCTGTTGGTAGATTGTTAGCCATTATGTTCTCTTGTTGGTGGATTTTAGCCTTTATGTTCTCTTGTTGGTGGATTTTAGCCCTTATGTTCTCTTGTTGGTGGATTGTTAGCCCTTATATTCTCCTGTTGGTGGATTGTTAGCCATTTTGTCCTACTGGTGCATTGTTAGCCATTATGTTCTCCTGTTGGTGGATTTTAACCCTTATGTTCTCCTGTTGGTAGATTGTTAACCATTTTGTCCTCCTGATGGTGGATTTTAGCCCTTATATTCTCCTGTTGGTGGATTGTTAGCCATTTTGTCCTACTGGTGCATCGTTAGCCATTATGTTCTCCTGTTGGTGGATTTTAGCCTTTATGTTCTCCTGTTGGTAGATTGTTAGCCATTTTGTCCTCCTGATGGTGGATTTTAGCCCTTATATTCTCCTGTTGGTGGATTGTTAACCATTTTGTCCTCCTGATGGTGGATTTTAGCCCTTATATTCTCCTGTTGGTGGATTGTTAGCCATTTTGTCCTACTGGTGCATTGTTAGCCATTTTGTCCTCCTGATGGTGGATTTTAGCCCTTATATTCTCCTGTTGGTGGATTGTTAGCCATTTTGTCCTACTGGTGCATTGTTAGCCATTATGTTCTCCTGTTGGTGGATTTTAGCCTTTATATTCTCCTGATGGTGGATTGTTAGCCATTTTGTTCTTCTGTTGGTGGTTTGTTAGCCATACCGTCTCACATTCACATTCACTTTTTGTTAAATCTCTGATTATGTTTAGTCATATTTGATCCCAAAGGCACTAAATCGGCAGCTCTAATATGATTGTCTTCAACTTATTTTTTATGGTTCACAATTTATTTCTCTGCAGGACTGTTATCATGGCAAAAATAGTAAAGTAAATATCTCTCTTCACTCAGCATTAGCTATATAAGCTAGCTAGCTAAATAGACTAGTCTTAGGGAAAGAGCAGACTTTAAAAACTTGTTTTTTATAGAAGAGACTGAGCAAATTCCTTAAAACAGATCATATTATAGTGTAGGATGTGCCTGCTATGCAGACTATCACACTATTTACATTCGTTGTTGCTGTGTGACCCTGACCCCTCAGGCACACGGACAGCGATGAGCCGTAGGCGAGTGTCGTGCCGTGAGCTGGGCCGGCCGGACTGTGACGGATGGCTGTGGAAGAAAAGGAAAGAGACAAGTGTGTTTGTGACTCAGAAGTGGCAGAGACTCTGGTTCGTTCTGAAGGGAGTGACGATATACTGGTACACCAGCCAACAGGTCAGTCCATACACACTCGCACCTACCGCTCCCCAACACTGGACTGAATTCATAAGGCATCATGATGCTAGACGTGGTACTTCAGGAAGTTTTTTATGATACACATTGTGCCATGATGTTTATTCTTTCTGACATCTGATAAGTTAGAACAGACAAAGTAGTGCCACATTTTAAAAATACTATCAAAAACTGTGAATCTGATTTCTTGTGTTCAACATTTCACACACTGTGCTGCACTAAATCCAAAGAAACAGGACTAATTATTTATTTTTTTCATGCAGTTGGGAAGTGTTTTTAAGTACTGACAATATCCCCAATATGCTCAGAAAAGCTTATTGTGACAAATTATGATGAAATTTATAATGATAACAATAAATATTGTCATATTGCCCAGCTCTTCATAAGCCTTTCATGACACAAACCTACATAAACATTTTTAAGTGAACATTCCAACAAGCGTCAGCTGTCATTAAGCCTGCTTTTGTCTTTTGTTTGTGTCATTTCACCGCAGCTAGTATGAGCCTTTATAAAGTCTTTATAGGTCTGTGTCAGGTGTGGTGAAAGGCTTATGTAGGTGTTATGTAGCCTTACAAACTCTGCCCTTCAGTCCCGACTTGTTTATGTGATTTTTGACACACAGTACGACAAAGTATGGACATGTGTAAGCTGTCAGGAGGTTTTCTACTGTAGTTTTTATCCCTGTACTGTCCTCCTGTGTGTTACTCCTGTGGGGATCTAAATGAAGCCCCCTGTGTTTCTCTGTTTGTAGGAGGAGAAAGCGGTGGGCATGGTGAAGATCGGCAGCTACAGCATAGAGAGCGCAGGAGAACACAAGAGGAAGTAGTAAGTCCCCACACACACACACACACACACACACACACACTGCAGTGATTGATGATTCCAATTTAGCCACACACACTTCGGCCTTCAGATTAATGTTACCATTAAAATTAATCTCCCTCTCTCTTTCTCTGGCTCTATCCTCACTCTCTCTCTCTCTTCCTCTCTCTTCTCCTCTCTCTTTCTCTCTCTCTCTCTCTCCTCACACTCTTTTTTCTCTCTCTCTCCTCACACTCTTCCCCCCTCTCTTTCTCTCTCTCTCTTATATTTCTCAATTTCTCTCTCTCTCTCTCTCTCTCTCTCTCTCTGCCCTCCCTTTCTCTCTCTCTCTTTCTTATATCTCTCTCTCTCCCCTCTTACTTTCTCTCTCTCGCTCTCTCTCTCCCCCCTCCCTTTCTCTCTCTCTTTCTTATATATCTCTCTCTCCCCCTCTCTCTTTTTCTCTTGCTCTCTCTCTCTTGCTCTCTCTTTCTTATTTCTCTGTCCCCTCTCTCTTTTTCTCTCTTTCTCTCAATCTCTCTCTCTCTCTTTCTCTCGATCTTTATCTCTCTCTCTCTCACTCTCTCTCTCTTACCTCTCTCTTTTTCTCTCTCTCCCCCTCTTTTTCTCTATCTCTCTCTTGCACTCTCTCCCCCTCCCTTTCTCTCTCTCCTTCTCTCTTTCTCTCTCTCTCTCTCTCTCTCTCTCTCTCTCTCTCTCTCTCTCTCTCTCTCCAGCGTCTTCAAAATGTCCCATCCCCGTTTCCAGAACTTCTTCTTCGCTGCCGACAACGTTACTGACATGAGCAAGTGAGTTTCACACACATAAACAAAAAAACCAAACATTTTAACAACCACTTAATGTTCATGCTTTCATCTTCCTGTGGGGATTCAGACTCCACAGAGAGAAATAAACAAAACCTGAATTGTTCTACACCTGAATGAAGGTAAACAGTGACCCCTGCTGGCTGTGTCCTGTAACTGCGCCCATTGTGTGACATTCAAATTCCACTTGAATTTGGCCTCCTTAATTCTGGGGTTTTTGTGGTCAGGCTGTGGAGGTGCTCTGGTAATGTTTGTTTTTCTCTCTCTACATGGTCACAGTGTGTTGTAACCAGCGGTCACTGTAATTATATGTCATAAGCTCACTTTCCATAAGCTCTTTCAACACCACTAAGCTGCAGTAATGCACTAAATAGTGACCACATGATGTCATGTGGTTGTGGGAAGCTTGTTTATTCCACAGTTAATCAGTGCCTGAAACACTGAACCCATAACTGAAATAATCAAATTATAATAAAACTGATGCAGCCTCATCAAATTTACTGTGATTGAATACTTTATATTCTAAAATGCTAATTGAACACAATAGAAATACTATTAAATGCTAACAAATGCTAATATTGTTTAATAGTTACAAACAACAACACATATTAATGGTTATTAGTAATAAAACAGTTTAAAAAGATGGTTCTTCAGAGGTTCTTTAGTAAAGGGAACGATTCTGTTTGCTTAAATGTGGTTCTTCAGATTGATGGAGAATGTGTTGTGTATGGTTTTGTATAGAACCTTTTTGAAACTGATTCTATATAAATATATACATATATATATCTATATATAAAGGGTTCTGCTATTGTATACAAGCTTGATATCGTAATAATTTTGGTGCTCTACTATCTGAAGAGCAATTTCACCATGCAAAGAACCATTTAAGCTTGCAAATGGTTCTTTGAGTGTTCATGGTTCTATAAAGAACCACTCTCTTTACAAAAAAACATTGAGGAGCATCTTTTTTGAGAATGCAGCACTCATAGTAATAAAACAATTCAATATACTAAAGAACCCTTGTAGAACCATCTTTTTTAAGAATGTGGATCTCATAGTTCTAAATATAACTATTCCCTAAAGAATGCTTGAGGACCCATCTTTAAGAACGTAGAACTCATGGTTCTAAAAAGAGCAATTCCCTTTACTAGAGAACCTTTGAAGAAAGACTGTTTTGTAAGAGTGTAATTAAGAATAGTTTATTAGTAATTTTTGGTAATAATAATATTTTCGTGTATTTTTTAATAAGCCTGGTACACAGAACCACAAATAACAAGCAAAGTGAAAGAACTCTGTTGTCATCAGAATGATATTAGCAGTCTAGACAAATAAAAGAAATAGAAGTTAAAAATAAAAGAAACAGAAATTAATATCTAAAATTATTAAACAATAAAAATATAAACACTTAGCAGCTGAAGATGTTTGTGTTCGTCTGACTGTTTCTGTCTCCATCAGGTGGATCAACTGTCTGATCACAGCCATTCAAAAATACAAAAAGCTGCAGCAGCACCCTCCAGACAGTGAGGCTGGTGAGTGGATCTGTTTGTACACCATGCACTCTTATGATTCAAGGGGAGTTCCACCAATTTTTCAGAATTTCTTCAAAATTCAGTCAGATTTCTTTACAGTGGTGGTGATAGGAACCAGGGGTTGCCATGACTACAACACAAATATACACATTTTATTTATTATCCAAAACCACCAGTGAACCTACACGTGTCTTCTGAGTTTTTATATGGAATGTTGATGATGGTAAAATAGTGATAAATCTGAAAATAATACATTTTCTTAGGGGACTATTTTGCCTCACAGCACTCTGCATGGATCCCTCCACCATGAATGGACTTTAAGTTCTCAAAACTATCATAAAACAGTGTCTCAGACATCAGGTAGTGAATTCATAACCATTTCATGTAATCATTTTCTGTGAGGGAGCTTTAAAAAGTGGACGTCTGGTTCCTATCACCACCACTGTGAACACTTCAGACTCCGTAAGTTTCTCTTTAACGAAGTATTTCACACCAAACCACTCTAAACGACTCAGTTTACATCTTAACCACTTAATTACGCAGGAAAAAATTCCTGAAATTCCTGATTAAAGCTGATTCATGGTTTATTTGTGACGGTGCTGTTTTCTGATTGGTTTGTGTGTTTTAACAGAGTGTTACAGTGAGACGGACTCGGAGGAGGATGGATCAAACTCGCCCCGAACTCTAAAGAAGAAAGTGTCTACGGTGAGGAGGCTCTTAGACACAAACACGCAGCTTCATGCTGTGTTACAGAAAAAAGTCCCCACAAATACAATATCTTAAAAAACACTGAGGCACACAGACATGAGTTAAAATATAAAAGGTGATATCTGTGTTCTTTCTGTTTGGAATAGAAGGCCCAGTGCAACACACTCCCTCGAACATTGGGGAGGAAGAACAAACCAGCAGGAGGCGCTGCAGTGACCGCTTCACCAGCAGGGGGCACTAAAGCTGCAGGTACATTTAGGCTGAGCAGAGAAATGCAGTCAGATTTAATGTACAGATAAGATTCAGCGTCGATAACAGATTCGTTACATTTGTTTGTGTGTATCTTTAGCTGTATGTTTAAGAAATGTTAGTGTCTGCTGTCATTTGATTTTGTGTCTTTTGATTAAATGACACAGTTTGATTATAGTTCAAATCAGAAGCTGCTTCAATATGATGATTTAATTAGGCATTAATTAATTAGAGATCAGAAAAATGCTAGAAAAATCCAGAATTGATCATCTCTTTCTCTCTCTCTCTCTCTCTCTCTCTCTCTCTCTTTCAGGAGGTGACGATGAGATGGGTGAGCTGTTTAATAAGCTGAAAGAGGGAGGAGTGTCTCTGATTGGTCAGAATCAGCCGATCACTCATGATCAGCTCAGGAGGTCGTTTATCCGCCGAAACAAAAACCCCGTCATCAACGAGAAGATCCACACACTCCGCGCGCTGCAGAGCACACTCAAGGTGACACACACACACACACACACACACACACACACACTCGAAATACATGACAACTACACTGTGACCTTTTAAAATTTTGAGATAATCACTATCATTATATATGACGGTCACTTTATTAGAAACACGTACCTTGTGCTTCCACTCACTGGCCACTTTATTAGAAACACCCATCTTGTGCTTCCAATCACTGGCCACTTAATTAGCTAACAGTACACCAGTGAGGTAAAGGGGTTTCTGATAAAGTGGCCAGGCAATGCTTTTACATGAATCATCGAGTCTTCTGCTTTGTGTCTCCCAGGCAAAGGAGGCGGAGCTTGTACTCCTTAATAAGCTTCTGGAAGATTCTGAGCTGACGCCGGTGAAGTTCCGTCAGTGGAAGCAGCGGAATGAGGAGCTGCACCAAGAGATCGAGAAGCTTGCCGCTGAAAAAAGAAAAAAACACGTAGAAACGACTGCAGAGAAGACGGCTAGCGAGGCCTGCAGTCTGAGCCTGAGCGATGGAGAGCAGCTGGTGGACGCCGAGCTGCCTGGCAACGGAGAACCCCGGCCGGAAAACTCCGACGGACGAGCAGAAAGCAACTCCTCCGATAATTACTTCTACATCTGAGCTCATCGAACACAAGCGCTGCTGGTCACTGGGGTCACTTTAGACCTCTTATTTATGGAGCAATCCCAGACTCTGACCAATCACAGCGTTCGTTCAGAGCCTGGTTGGAACTGGTGTCGAATGTTTCTATTTAACACCTTGTTCTTATGAAAAAAACTTGATGAGTGTTGCTAAGCAACATTAATAATATTTTTAAAGTTAGCTTGCTAAGCTAGCCAGTCGGAGTGGCTCATTTTGAATGAGTTCCATTTGATTTATTCATATATACGTATTTTTTTACTCAAGTGGAACTCCAAAGACCAGGTAACCCACCAGTCAGTGAGGTCCATCGCTGCACTGGCCAACTTTTGTAATGTATTTGTACATTTATATTTGAAAATATGCCTGAAATTTTGCATATAAATAGCACTGGACTTATGAGGATGAATGTGGGATGAGTCTTTGCCATTGTGCTGTGCAGTGATGGACCTTTACTCAGATTTTATGGCCGCGCTTTCAGTCATACACAAAATGAACAGACCTTTATAAGCCATATTGTCTTCACTGGAGAGAAATCCAAGTCTTCATGTTACCAGCTTGACCTGCTTATCTCACTCTGTCTTGAATGTGAACCAGAGAAGTGCTTAGTGGACACGAGGCAGACTCCAAATACAACACTGGACCTCATACCTGATTGGGAGAATTGTCCTCTCTATGCTCCCCCCACAATGTGTTCTTTCATACCTACTGTTGCTATGTTGGACAAGCTCTATAGGGCTCACATTAAATCTAATGAGAAACTGTAGAATAGACTCAGTTTATATCACAATTCCTACATTTAGAGCAAGTTATATGATGTAAACTGGGTTGTGTTCTATAGTTTCCCATTAGGTTGAATGAATAACTGACTCTAAATGTAGGTATTGCGATATAAACAGTCTGTTCTACAGTTTCTCATTAGACTGAATGAATAACTGACTCTAAATGTAAGTACTATGATATAATAAATGTAGGTATTGTGATATAAAGGTTGAATGGGATTTTTATCAGCGTTCTGTAAGCTTGTCCAACATAGCAACAGTAGCTATGAAAAAACACATTTGAAAAAAGGAAATAAATAAAGGATTCAAATTTTGTTGGAGTCGACTACACTGGCTGTGTTTCTACTGAAAATTCTACAGACTTTCTAAGGAGCTGGATATGAGTGTCTGACATCATCATCTGAGCTCTTCCTGAAACAGAGTTTTTTTACTCTATGATGGACTGTCTATAATAAATATATATTTTTAAAAAAGAACAAAGTCACCCGAAAGCACCTACTGGACATTAGTAAGGCCTTTGACATTTTACATGTAATCTTTTTAAAGAATATTTTAGAAATTATATCTATTTGAACTTGTCATGTTTGTACTGCATGTTGTTAATATGTGCAATGATGGGAAAAAGGTTTAAATATAGATGACGTGTCCCGATGGACTTTTCACTGATTATGCAGAACAAAAGTATGATTTATAGAGAATGGAGGAACGCTGAAATATAGTGTATGCTACAAATGAAAGTGTTACCACGCTCACTTTACTGTAAATAAAATGCCTCTCTGATAATAAACACCAGATCTGATTTTATTTATTTATTTTTTTTTAAATGTTAAATTTGGAAGTCTACAGCATAAAGCAAAATTCATTAACTTGCATAATGAAGGAGAACAGTCAAAGTGAAAAAAATAGGAGTTTCTAAAACTGGAGTTCAAAAACTGATGAAAAGCTACAGAGAAAATGTGACTCCTAACAACCACCTGGAAGACCTAGTAGAGACCAAATCTGCCCCCATTAGATAAACAGCACTTAAAGCTTTCATCTCTGAGAGAGAGGAGAAAATCAAGCTGCTCCAGATCTGAAATCATCCACAGGTGTTTCTGTCCATCCTTCCACTGTGAGAAGACGACTCAGCACTGTGGGTCTGAAAGGCTCCCTCACAGAAAGTTATTACATGAAATGGTTATGAATTCACTACCTGATGTCTGAGACACTGTTTTACGATAGTTTGAGAAGATTTTTGGCCTTAGAAACCATTCATGGTGGAGGGATACATAATATGCAGGGTGATGTGAGGCAAAATAGTCCCCAAAGAAAACTTACTATTTCAGGCTTTCCACTATTTTCCCATCATCAACATTCCATATAAACTCAGAACACATGTGTAGGTTCAGTGGTGGTTTTGGATAGTAAACAAAATGTCTATATTTGTGTTGTAGTCATGGCGACCCCTGGTTCCTATCACCACCACTGTAAAGACATCTCCACAATCAACCATTTCATATTAAACATTAAATGCCTGAAATATATTAAGGGTGGTATCTGACGTTTGCACAGTACTGTAATTTCCAGTGCTGTCAGGACTTTGGTCTACGGTCTTGTCAGTGAAAAATGTTCTGTTTTTGTTTCTTTGGTACAACTGATGTGTCTAATTTCAGCCAATGGTAATAACAGGTCTACTAAATCACGTTGTGATTGGTGGTAATGGTTCAGTCTCTGTAATCAAATCTCTCCATGCTGCTGCAGCACATGTAAGCCTTCACCCACATGACTGTCCTTCAGAGCGAGTGATTAATGGAAACACTCGAGTGGCAGATTGAACTTCAACTCGACGTCCAGATGGCGTTCTGATTGGCGCGTGACCAAGTGGACGCTTTTCTCAAGCGTTTACAGCCCTCAGACAGCACGGGTAAGTGTTTGTTTCTTGTGTGTGTATCAGGCACAGCTACTGAAAATTACAGAGGAGAGGAGCTGAATTACAATAAACAGCTGCTACACTATAAAAGCAATCAGTGCCTGTTTTGGTCAGCTGACTAACGTGCTGAAGCGCATCAGACAAATCAACAAATAATCCATTCAGGCCTCAGGAGCAGCGCAGGTACATACAGTCACATACAGAACGATAGGCCTCTGGGGTGATGCCTTGTTCTGTTGTCGGTGTCATGCCCATATAAGGAATTCCAGGTCTAGGCCATTTTTCTCTATGTGAAAAGTGAATGTCATTCTCTAATATAGCTGCTGTCTCACCCTGTGGTAAACAAAACTGTTACAAAGCAAATACATACATTTTTCCTCCGAGTGTTGCTGGATCTGCAGCTGTTACAATACAAAAACAGGCCTTTTATTTACACTAGCTACTCAAACTGCAGCCTAAAAGTGCCACAGTCATCTTCATGCTCTATTCTAGAGAAACCTACTAAGAATCATTCAGAGTGGTGGTGATAGGAACCAGACATCCACCTCTAAAAGTTCCCTCACAGGCTGTAGGCTGAATGGGCGGGGCAAAACTGCTGTAGGCTGAACAGGTAGATATTTCACTGTTATTTTTAATATCAGCATACACACACGAATAAACCAGTGTTCTTTTATTTGATTTTATTTTGTTTAGCGTTGTTATTCATTGTAACACACTGATATGACAGAGAAGAGATGCAGCACTTTTTAACAAAAATACATATTTATGCATTACTTACCTTCTTGTTTTTTTAAACAGATAAACAGTCTTCCCTTTATGAGAGCCATACATATCTTATTCTATTCATAGAAAGTAACACTTTCTATGAAAGTCACATTTGTAAGCATCTATAAACACATTCATGACCTGCTATAATGCATTCATAAGGCATCATAAACATGGCTATAAATATTTATAAAAATACATTACACGTTGTAGCCATGTTTATTATGCATTATGAATTGTTAACATAATGCATTAGAAGTGCTGCTCATAATAAATTATAAGAGCTCATAAGCTGTATTTGTCCACTCTAAGTAAAGTGAAGCATACTGAACTAAAGCCTTCTCCAGTGTTGAGAGTGAGGCTTCAAGTTGAAGTATTTACTGAAGAATTTACTGAAACACTAAAACATACACAATAAAGCACATTACAGGCTTCAAATGTCAGATTTTAAACTAGTGCTGCCATCAGTGTTTTACCCAATGTGGGAAGGTCAATGTACACCACCGTTAGCTTGGCACTTAACACTGCATATCCAATAGAATGCTAGCAGAAATTAGCATTACTGTAGTGTAGTGTACTTGGGTTACAGAGTGAAGGTTTCTAGCACTTGACGTTAGAACCAGTGAGGGAACAAATTACAGTGACAGCACTCTACTATCAAGTATAACATGTTATTAACATTACTTTTAATGCATTATGTTAACAATTGATAATGTATAAAAGACATGGCTATAAAGTGTAATTCAGTGTAATCCATTTTTATAAATATTTATAACCATGTTTATAATGCTTTATGAATGCATTATAACATGTTATGAATATCTGTATAGATGCTTAAAAAACATGACATTCATAAAAAGTGTTACCCTTATTTTCAAAGAGAATCTATTTACACATTGAACGCGTCGGTGAGTTTGTTAGTATTTCAGGTGCTTCTTTTCTAGCAGAGAAAAACACTGTTTACACCACACAATCATACTGCCATATGAACTGTTACTGTTCTGAAACAAATACAGCTTTCAGTTTACCTGATTCAAATGTGTGCATCAATACAATAAACTAATATAATCAACATAATTAGTCAGAAATAAGTCACTGAAATGCACATTTGTATTATTATATTTACTAAATGCAGATTTGATACACATTTGAACCAAGCAAAAGCACATGACTTTATTTGAGCATACTCAGTAGCAGTTTTATATGTATTTCTTCATGTAGTTATGTTATTAACCCATTTATTCCTTTGATAATTTCTTAAAAAGCAAACAACAGGTCGCTTTGATTTCATATGAATTTGGTTATGAGGATGATGGCAATTAGTCACATGACAAGAGTCATTAACTTCAAGCATGCACCTGAGAATATCTGCATCAAAACTTTACAAAAAGTAATAAACATGTTATAATACAGATATAACCACAACATTTGGTGGAATTAATCTTTAAAGGGTCTATTATTAATAAGTTAAAATGATTGTAGTTAAATTTGTTTCTTGTCCAATTGGGCCTAATTTCTGGCTCTGTAGTTCCCCACAAGACACAGCTATGGCCAAGAATAACAGTTATATTGATTTTTATATTAAAACTTATAGTAATTCTTGCACTTACATAGCTGTAGAAAGTTTGGGATTAAATGGGTTAATTAATACCCTGTAAGCTTTGCATGTTGATAGCGTCTGACAAATCAAACACTCTTCACAATGAACACAAGTAAAAGGCTTTCAGAATAAGAAAAATAGCCTCAGTACAAAAGCACATCACCACTAAGCAAGCAGCTTTAGCTCCATGTCACAGTTGGACTCTATAATAACAATAATAAAACATTAATGAATTAGACAATCAGAAATAAAAGCAGCTTTGATTTTGCAGCCCTCACTTTAGATTGAAATTCCCCTCTCCAGGCTCCGCCCACAATGCGTTCCTCCATAGTGACTGTTGTGAGTTTTGACAAGCTTTAGAGAACACTGGTAAAAATCCCATTAAACCTAATGAGAAACCCTATAGTAGAAATGTAGCTATTGTGATATAAACTGAGTCTGTTCTACAGTTTCTCATTAGGTTGAATGAATAATCGGCTCTAAATGTAGGTATTGTGATATAAACTGAGTCTGTTCCGCAGTTTCTCATTAGGTTGAATGAATAATCAGCTCTAAATGTAGGTATTGTGATATAAACTGAGTCTGTTCCGCAGTTTCTCATTAGGTTGAATGAATAACTGGCTCTAAATGTAGGTATTGTGATAGAAACTGAGTCTGTTCTACAGTTTCTAATTTGCTTGAAGGGGATTTTTTACCAGGGCTCTGTAAAGCACAACTAGAGGTGGGTAATCCAGATCCAAAAAGTAAAAACCCTCCCCAGGATTTTGTTTCAACTGCCTGAACACCTTTGCTGCTGGTTTGAGCAAATTAGAGAAGTCAAGCAGTTGGAACAAAATCCTGGGGAGGGTTTTTACTTTTTGGACCTGGATTACCCACCTCTACTCACAACAGTAGCTATGAAAGAACGCATTTGTGGGCGGAGCTTGGCGGAAACAATTGAAAACGAACACTGTTATTAATTGACATTCATCTGTGTGCTACCTCCCAGCATGTTACAGCTACTGTCACTGGCAAAAGTGGGCAGCGATGGTATAAAAACAAGAAGCTACATAAACACAAAGCAGGCCGCATTGTTCAGCCTTGCTAAAAATGCGGCAATAAATCTAGGATCAGTGTTTTTTTGCTCATATGCACTGCCCAGATCTAATCTTTTGACCCCTCGCTTTGTAGATAGAAGTGATCATGCTTTCTTAGGTTTGCAATAACTGAACATATTACTGCCTGAGCAGTTTATATAGAGGAAAATAATACGATAATATTACAGTAAATATTTGTGAAAACTGAAGGCTTTGTTCACACAAATTCAGGTTTTTCCAGGCATTCCCGGCTGTTCCTATGAAGAAAATGTTTTATTGTCAAACTTTTTACGTGTCATATTGTTTTCCTCTAAATAGGTCTGATCACTCTTTAACCACCTGGGGTCCACAAACCTGCCTGCATGTCAAATTCTCTGTCTCTATATCTGTGTCTTTAACTTTGTGATGATCCAGCACAGAAATCCAGTTCAAACATTTCCTGAATCTGTAAAGTCGCCCTTTCCATTCCATCTAATCACGAGATCGTATGTGAATCACATCCAGAGTTATAAGCCTATGAAGAGGGGCTGAGATGCATGTCATCTGCCTCTCACACTCAGGAAATCACTAAGGACTGACCATCACGCCAGAAACCCTTCATTCTTCATTCAGTCCACATCAGAGACACGTGTGAAATGGCGTGCAGAGAGTTTACAGCTGCTGAAGTTGCTGCAGTGGTTTTGGAAAGTATTGATGAAGATAATCTGAGATTTTGAGTAGCATGTTATATGGAGACCCTTTAAAGGAGAATTTAAGAAGATATGAACAAATCGAGAGAATGACCTCAGACCCCAGAGGGTTAATGTGTTAATAACTTAATATATTAAAAAGAAATAATTATTGCAAACCAACAAAGAGATCACTGCCATTTGAAAAGAGGCTCATCAGAATCAATGAAAATTGAAAAACAGTCCAGTGCAAGAGGCAACAGATGACATTTGAAAAATATTACTGTAAAAAGCTTTAAATATAGGCCCATTAGGATCCTTAGCGTTAATATAATGTCAGGTACCTTAACTACATCCAAATGAGCAGGTGTTCTATCCACCTGTCAATTTTGTGTCTGCAGCAAACTTTGCTCTGTCTTCATTAACACATCATTGAACATCCATCGCTTCTGGTGCAGCCCAGAGGAGGACGGGGTCTCCTTTTGAGTCTTGGTCCCTCTCAGTGGTTCGTCCTCATGCTCTTAGAGATGTTTTCCTGCCCTACCTCATTAGAGGGCGCTCACATTTTTGGACAAGCTGCTTTGGGACAACATATGTTGTAGAAAGCCCTACATAAATGAAACTGAATTAATTAGCCTTTAGCATTTAGCCCTCTGTAGTACAGTCGGTGGGAAGAGTCCATTTTTCCTCTGATGATACATCCAAAAGTTCCTTTTGCTGCATTCCAGACAAATCGGAACGCCAGAATATCCAACTTGCCACCAGTGGGATGCTACCCAGTGTTCCAGCCAGAATTCAACAACCACAACATATAATAGTTTGCAGAGAGGCGGCGATATGATGTCAAGCCATATCGTTAGTGGTAAACACTTGTTTTAAGACAATTTAAAGGTATTAAAATTCATGGTTGATTCAGATCTCCTCCGTGGCAGGACAATACGGCCTTTTATGTGTGGGTTTGATCACTAAGCCAACCATTTTCTTCGTCTATATGTAGAGACGGTGCAAGTCGAATACTGAATACATAACCTAAACATAAATAAACATAAACAGTGCAAACATGTGGAAGAGTTGACTGAACTAAAGGAACTGTAATTCTTGTATATTACGTAGCGAGCTAGTCGTTGTTGCAGTCGTATGCAAAAGTTTGAGCACCCCCATTGCAAATTTTTATGCACAATTTCTTTTTATTTGCTAAGTTTCATATACTGTAAAACAAAAACATGAAATATAAAATGTGCCATAACTTTTGCACAGGCCACATTTAATGTCCTAAATTTTCCCCAATATGTCAAATTCAGCAAATAAACAGTAATTGTGTATTAAAAATGTGCAGAAGTGTGTCTCTGTAGAGGAGGTGTGTTTTATTTTCACTTAGAAAATGAACACAAATATTTCTAATGAATAATTTGACCAGGGGTGCCCAAACTTATATTTGCATATGACTGCATGTTGACATTAGGCTACATGTGGCTACTGTTGTGATCAGAAAACCTGTGTTCTGTGATATTTCAGTCTAGATTTGTTACAAAAACCTGATCAAATTTGTTGTTTTTCTTCCAGGATCCAGCACGGCATTATCTCCTGGTATGTTTTCCGGAATGCTTTGTGGTCAAAAATCAGGAATTTGCAGCTCCTGCCCTGTTTGGAACGCAGTTTTTCTCCAAAGCTGTGTCTAGTAGCTCACCTCGTACACCTCTGCCCTCTCTGTGTCTGCCCGTTTGGGGCAGGATGGGCACTGTGGGCGTCTGAACCCAAACAGCAGTGCCACCCCCCCGAGCACCTGCACCCACGCCCCCACCCAGCCGAAATAGAGCGACCCAGCTGGCCGCAGAGTCAGGCTGGGCAGCTTGTGGACGTTTAGCCCCCGGAATTCGGACATTGTTGAGGCCAGCTCCACTCCAAGCTCCTGCAGGTGATGAGTATATACGCCCAGAGCTGCCAGGCCCAGCACGCCCCCCAGCGCCACCAGCAGGCCGCCAGCACCTGCGACGTTTCTGAGGGGAGTCTCCGTCCAGCAGCGCAGACCGATGCTGGCCAGTACGATCCCGGCTCCACACAGGAAGAGGGAGGACAGGACCAGGCCCTGGGCCGCTCGGACACGGGCATCACGCTGGGAGTAATAATAACGATAATGTTAATGATAATAACAGTAAACGTTTGTTCAAAAGTCTCTAATCAGTATTTTTAATTAATTCATAATCAGTTTGGTTATAAATAAATGGATGAAATTATTCTAATATGGGTCTAAATAAAAGTTGTATTAAATCAAGAATGAAGTTGTAGTAAAACAATTATCCGTGAATCATATTTCAAAATTAGTGAGGTTTTAGTACTATAATGACAAAAAAAATCACCAAAGAGATCAATTTAGTATTATGTATCATTTAATCTTAAAACCTTGAAAACACTCCTTCTTATCTGGACAGTATATTAGATACTATTGAATAAAATAACAGCAATTATTAATATGACAGTAGTCCTCACCTGGTACGGTCCAGACACTGGCCAGCACTCTCTGAGCTCAGAGTGCGCCACCTGCAGGCAGCTTTCCCACAGGCCATCTGAGCGAAGGAGAAGGAGCTCTGCCCCTTTGGCTCCACCCACAGCTCTCCCGACTCCGCCTAGCCGGGCTTGCCCCTCCCTCCACTGAGGTGTGATGGCCGCTGTGAACACCAGCACCAATCCCAGCGGGGCAAAGACGATGCCTGTCACCATAGATGCTGGGGTGTGCATTGTGGGAAACGTAGTTTTCCAGAAAAGGAGTGTTGAGCTCAAACTGTTATTTGGATTTCAGTGCGTTGATATTTGGAGGTCAGTAAAAGACGGTAATGTAGTTCCCCGAAAAATGGTTACTCTCTTAAATATCATGGGTTGTAATCTAATAGCAAAGCATAATAATCGCTTTTTGAGTAGATTTGAGCCTCTTGATCGGTGTATAGAATAGGAGGAAGGAGATGTAGTTCCCCTGAAAAGCTGAGCTTAAAATGATTTCGGCTCTCTACTTTGTGGCCTTAAGAACAAGAGTGAGTTGTAAAGTTCCTTCGGAAATGACGCTGAGCGTCCTGCTTCTTATACGGTCATTAGAGATGGTAATGTGGTTTCCTTGAAAAGCCGATGTTGAGCTAATTTCAGCATGCGACTCTTTGGAAGGTGATGTGGTTCCCTGGAAAAGGGCTGAGGAGGGTGATCTATTTTGTCCTGCTCCTAACAGAGGGCTGTAATATAACTGTTTTGGTCAGGCTGAAAATGTAGTTTCTAGGAAGTGTACTTGCTCTTCATGCAGATAGGTAGTTCCCTCAATACAGTAATATGGACTTCTCAATAGTGTCCACTGTCCAGAAGGGTGGATACTGTAGACCCATAGAAGAGGAATGTCCAGCTAAAAAAGGTTATTTTGAGAGTGACTTAATATGGAAAAAGGATGATCAATTGGTTCTTTGGGTTTAAGTGTCCTGCTGTTTAGACAGGTGGTTCCTTAGAACAAAGACTGTCCCTAGAAGAGCAATTATTCCGATTTCCCTGCTTTTCAGATGAGTGATTTTCTAGAACAATTGTTGGGATTTACAGATCCTGCTCTAATGGAGGATCGATATGCAGCTCCTCATAGAAGTGGTTAATGTAGTTCCTTGGAAATAGAGTTGCTTTGAAAGGTTATCACGACTGCAGTATCCTGCTGTTTTGATGGTAATGGAGTTTCCTGGAGAAGGAACGTTAAGCTGGAAAGGTTATGATGCTCTTCAAACAGATGGGTGATGTAGTGCCAAGTCTTTAGATGATAATGTACTTCCTCAAAAAAGGAAATTTGAGCTCAGAGTGTTGGATTTCTGCTCTTCATATGATAATGGAGGATGGATCCTTTCAGCGTCCCGCAGTTCAGAAGGTAACCTAGTTCCCTGGAAAATGAACATCGATCTAAAAAGAAGATTATTTTAGCATCCCACTCTTTGAATTCTTGGATCTTAGGAGCAACCGTGAGTAACGTAGTTTTCTAAGAAAAGCTGTGTTGAGCTAAAAAAGGATATCACGAGTTTAGCGTCCTGCCATTCAGGCTAAACGAAATCAGAAGCAACAGAACCCTCGAAGATCAGGAGATGATCACTCGCAGTCCTTGGAGAGATGACTCCAGATGTTTCCTGCACCAAGGCGATCCCAGTCCAGATGAGCTTCTTCAAACACTTGAGAGAGAATTATTCGATCTCCTTGGCGTCAGGACGAGTGCGAGTTACTGTTGTGTGTATGTGTGTCTGACTCCATCGGTCTGTCTCGGCTCCGAGCTCACACACAGAATGGCTCCAAGCATCCCCTGTTGCCCCTGGCAACCGGCAGAGTGGAGCTGAACGTCTGCCTGTTGCTAAGAGACGGCAACCTGGACCATCCTTCGGCTTGCTGACACATTTAGAGGGTTCGGCTCTGTGTTTGTACGTCCTTGTTTCTTGGGGATTTATTAGTGAGGTCAGCTTTCAGGACTGACCTTGATGTTGGTCAATACAGGGAGGGAGCATGTGCATCAGCGTGCCGTCTGAATTCTGAAACAGGTTGCGTCCCGTAGAGACGAAGACAAAACAATCTGACGTTGGACACAGACACACATTCTTGCAAGCAAATGAGTGAGCCTCGCTCAGCTTGGAGCCAAGGGCAGCAAGGGTGGGCTGCTAAGTGAAAGAAATCAGGAGATGGGAAATGATGTTTGGAACGTCCTTCATAACCTCTAAGTTCTTTACAGATGGAAAGGAAGAAGGACACCTCAGAATAGAGACAGATAAACATCTCTCATCAGTCATCTATATAAAACACACATATGCACTAAAAATTAATAATACTATTAATTTACAGTAAAAGTCAGAGACCTATATTTGTTCAATTTACAGTCAAAACATCCATTCAGTGAAAACTATTAATATTTCAGGAGATATTTCTGAGGATATTAGATACAAAACAATCCACTTGCATAAGGAAGGAAAAAGTCAAAGCGTTCATTATTAGAAGCTACAGAGAAAATGGGGCTCCTAACAACCACCTGGAAGACCTGGTCGACACCAAACACTGCCCCCATCAGATAAACAGCACTTAAAGCTTTCATCTTTGAGAGAGAGGAGAAAATCAAGCTGCTCCAGATCTGAAAACATCCACAGGTGTTTCTGTCCATCCTTCCACTGTGAGAAGACAACTCAGCGCTGTGGGTCTGAAAGGATGTGTAGCTGTCAAGAAGACCTCACTGAGAAAAGGAGACACATCAAACAAAGAAGCTGAACGATGGACTGACCACCCCAGAGTCCAGGCCTTAACATCACTGAATGTGTTTGATTACTTTAGAAAATGATCAACCAACTTCTAAGACTGAACTTTGGAGGTGTGTCTGCAGATTTCTTTGAGAAACTGAAGGTGAGTGATTACCTGTTGTGATTGATTAGTCTGCTGTCCATGAGGAAAAGTACTTTTCTTCCAAAGCAACTACTTGAACTTCAGCTTTAACTAGAAAAAAATAAACAAGGCTAAAGCTGACCTTCGGTTTCTGAGGTTAGGATCAGGTGGGGTTAGGTGGATTCATGTGACAGTGTTACATTTCCATTATTAAAACAGCATATTAAAGTTTCGTCACCTTGTCACCGATGGTACGTTAGCACATCAGCACAGCCAACACAGAGCGTTGACTACCAAACCCTGAAGTGCAGCCACATGGCGCCATGGCAACGCAAAAACAAACACACTGGGTTAAAGAGCTACACAGGATATTAATCTACACACATTCTAATGTTTTCATGCATACAGTTATTAGATCATGGTGTCTGCTTGGGTTCCGTCATAAAACGTGTCCTGTCAGTTCAGTGCAGTGATGAAAACATTGAGAGGAATCTATGGATTTTACAGCACATACAGTACCATTTTATCAGAGAGTACAGGGTGTTTCTAATAAAGTGGCCAGTGAGTGGAAGCACAAGGTAGGTGTTTCTAATAAAGTGGCCAGTTAATGGACATACAAGGTATGCATTTCTAATAAAGTGGTCAGTTAGTGGAAGCACAAAATAGGTGTTTCTAATAAAGTGGCCAGTGAGTGGAAGTAAAAGGTAGGTGTTTCTGATAAAGTGGCCAGTCAGTGGAAGCAGAGGGTTGGTGTTTCTAATAAAGAGGCCAGTTAATTACCAAACCCTGAAGTGCAGCCACATGGCGCCATGGCAACGCAAAAACAAACACACTGGGTTAAAGAGCTACACAGGATATTAATCTGCACACATTCTAATGTTTTCATGCATACAGTTATTAGATCATGGTGTCTGCTTGGGTTACATCATAAAACGTGTCCTGTCAGTTTCAGTGCAGTGATGAAAACATTGAGAGGAATCTATGGATTTTACAGCACATACAGTACCATTTTATCAGAGAGTACAGGGTGTTTCTAATAAAGTGGCCAGTGAGTGGAAGCACAAGGTAGGTGTTTCTAACAAAGTGGCCAGTTAATGGACATACAAGGTATGCATTTCTAATAAAGTGGTCAGTTAGGAAATACTGAGCCTACAGATTGTTTATTAGACAGAGAATGTCTGAAAAAAATGAAGGATGAAAGAAAAAGATAAAAGGAAAGGGTGGGATGCTCTGGCTGTGCTGTATTTTTACTTCTCTCAACTCTCTCTTTCTCTCTCTCTCTCTCTCTCTCTCTCTCTCTCTGTCGTGGGTCTGTTCAGAAACAGCAGGAGGGTTAAAAATAACTTGGAATTAAGAACTAACAAGATAGAGATGTGGAAGAAGAGAGAAAGAGAGAGAGAGAAAAAAAGACAGAGACACAATATAAAGAGAGAAAAGAAAGAGATAGAAAGAAAAGGTAAGAGAAGAGAGAGAGACAGCAAGGGAGGAAAGTGAAAGAGAGCAAAGTGAGAGAAATAGAAAGAGAGGAGAAAAAGAGGAGAGGAAAAGGGGGGAAAGAGTGGGAGAGAGTGAAAGAGAAAAAGGAGAGAGACTGAGAAAGAAAGAGTGAATAAGAAGAATAGAAAGATAGGGAAGAAAAAAGAAAGAGAGACAAGGAGGGAGAGAGAGAGATAAAGAGAAGAGAGAGGGGAGAGGAAAAGAGTGAAAGAGAAAAAGGGGAAAGAGAGAGTGAGAAAGAGTAAGAGGAATAGAAAGACAGGGGAGAGACGAGGAGGGAGAGAGAGGAGAGGAAAAGAGGAAGAAAGAGGGGCGAGAGAGAAAGAGAAAAAGGAGAGAGCATGGGAAAGAGAGAGAGAGAAAATAAGAGGAACAGAAAGATAGGGGAGAGAAAAAGAAAGAGACAAGGAAGGAGAGAGAGAGAGTGAAAGAGAAAAGAGAGATAAAAAGAGAGGAAGAAGGAGGGGGAGAGAGAGAAAGAGAAAAAGGAGAGTGAGAGAAACAGAAAGATATGGGAGAGAAAAAGAAAGAGAGACAAGGAGGGGGAGAGAGAGAGAGTGAAAGAGAGAAAAGAGATTAAAAGAGAGGAGAGAGAGGAAAAGAGGGAGAAAGTGGGGGAGAGAGAGAGAGAAAACGGAGAGAGAACAATAAAGAGAGAGAGTAAGAGGAATAGAAAGACAGGGGAGAAAAAAGACAAGAAGGGAGAGAGATAAAAAGAAAGAGGAGAGAGAGGAAAGGAAAAAGGAGAAAGAGGGGCAGAGAGAAAGAAAAAAGAAGAAGTAGAGCGTGAGAAAGAGAGAATAAGAGGAATAGAGAGACAAGGAGAGAGACAGAGTGAGAGAGAGGAGAGAGAAAGATAGTGGGTGAGAGATAACAAAGAAAGAGAGGAGAGGGAGAAATAGGAGAGGAGAGAGAGTAGCAGAAAGAAAAAGAGAGAGAGAGATAGAGAGGGAGAGAGGGAGGGAGAGGGAGGGAGAGAGAGATAGAGAGAGGGAGGGAGGGAGGGTGTAATTAATTCCTTTAATAATTCCTCCTGTCGTCACTGGTGTTGGTCATGAGCGCCACACGGAAACTGGAATAAAACAACAGACACAAAAACAAACAGAAACACATCCATCCAAGACCAGATAGTTATGATTATATCACAAAATATCATATCGCATCATCTGTGAACGCAAAACCAAGCAGTTTGGCTTCAACACCTGATGCACTCTTATTCATCTGATGACGTGGTTTTGGGTTTTTTTGGAAAAGGCATCACATGTCACACATCTACTGTAGCGATGAGATATGTACCTGAACAAAAACAGCTTACAAAGGAATGGAAATTCTTAGTCCGTCCAGCATCTGTCAGCATAAGAACTAAGAGGCTAAAAGCGGCTTTTGGTACAAATTTTCCATTCCACCTTAAATGTAACAGATGCACCATTTAAGGCGGAATGGAAAATTCAGATAAGAAGCTGGCGAATAAGAAACTGCACCGGAACTTAAGTTTGATCGGTTCTGTTCTTTTCTTTTTAGATCCTTTTGAGAACTCTTACACAGCAAGGCCTCAACGTTCTTCAGGGTCCTTGGAGCCCCCCCTGCCCTACAACTACATGACCAAAAACATAATATTACATAACAGGTGTGGACTCAAATCATATGACTTGGCCTCGAGTCCGACTCAAGTCACAAATTGACTTGAGAAAACTTACTTTGACTCGGACTTGGAGTTTGTCGTTCCACCTTAAATGGGGCAGCAGTCAGGCAACGGAACGCCCAGAAGTGTTCTTATACTGTTACAAGCTTGCCTTTGTAATGGAACGGGTTCATATATAGAACCTTTTTAAAAAGGTTATATATAGATCCATCTACAGCAAATTCTTAAGAACGCTTCGATGATGCAAGGAACGCTTTAATCATGCAAAGGGTTCTTTGAGTGTTCATGGTCCTTTTTAGAACCATTTTCTTTGCTAAGGAACCCTTGAAAGATCATCTTTTTACGCAATACACTGTTAGCAATAAGGGGTCTATATAGTACCAAAAAAGAGTTTTTTGCCTTGTAACAATAGTGGTACCCTATTTGGGTGCTATAAAGAACCTTTTACAAAAAAGGTCCACAGCACATTCTGAAGAACGCTTTGATGATGCAAAGAACCCCAGTGAGTGGAAGCACAAGGTTGGTGTTTCTTATAAAGTGGCCAGTTAGTGGAAACACAAGGTAGGTGTTTCTAATAAAGTGGCCAGTTAGTGGAAGCACAGGTGTAGGTGTTTCTAATAAAGTGGCCAGTGAGTAGAAGCACATGGTGGGTGTTTCTAATAAAGTGGCCAGTGAGTGGACATAGAAGGTAGATGTTTCTAATAAAGTGGCCAGTGTTAAATAATATTTCACGTTCATGCACTTTTTGGGCATTTTTCATTTATTTATTTCTTAAATAAACAAAAAGAGCCATATTAACGTGCAGCAGAGAGATAAATCGATTACAGAAATGCAGCAGTAATCTGAATCTCTTCAATTACGTCAGCTGCACTTGTGGCCTCATCACCCGTATCATCTTCAGTCTCTTGAGAAAAACACTTCCTTGTGTGGGATGTGGGCTCGGCCTCTCAGACTTCATCTGCTGTCACTTCTGATTGTCAGACAGCCTGCAGCAAATAAACAGAGTTTCATTTCATACCCATAAAGAGCTCCTCTTTTTCTGATTGTTTATGGGCTCATAACATTCATCCCTAATCAAATCACATTTGCTAATGAAAAAGCCACCTGAAAAATCACTCTCTGGAGCTCCTGGAGTTCCAACACTGCTGCTTTTTAATGTTTTCCTGCTCTAATAAAGCAATAAGCCATGAAAGGCCATGTGTTACTGCGATTTTAGCACGAGGAATGGTGTTGTTAGGCATGACATGAGGTAGGGTAAAACTCCCTTCACCATGATAAAATCACTGTAATGCAGGCCTCAAGTGGCTTATTGCTTTCATAAAACAGCGGCCAACATAAACTATGATAAAATACACACTTTTTTAGAACGTTATTTAAGTTATAATTATTAATAATTGACATAAACAAGTATTCCGCCAAGAAGGGTAGTTCCTTTAGAGTATGGTATCTTGTCAATCATCCATGGACCGCTGAGTGAGGAGAACGCTTGGTTGCCCATCGCTGTATTTTGTGGTCATTTCATGATTTTACTTTTTGTCACATAACATTGAACATATGATACACAGCACTGTTTAACGCAAACACTTTCACTTTATAAGTACTTTTCAGTCACCAAATGACCACCGGAAGTCTTATTTAGCACCAATCCAGCGGCGCCCTCTTCTCACTGAATCCTGCAGCTGTAGAGGCTAGAATTTCTACACTTTCATAGCTAGTACACTATTTAGGGAATACGGAGGCGTTTGGGATTCAGCCTGGGTTTGACACGACATCTGACTGAAACATGAACATTTGAAGCGTGTAAGACATTCAAGTGACATTTTTAGACTTCTATACTGCCGTTTTTTCTTGCATTTCATTTCATTTTTTCCCTCTGAGGTCCACTTACAGTTTTGGGTTGTTTTATGCACCAGAAACATAAACATATTTAATTTTGCAGGGTCATTTTCCAACCTCTCTTTATCCCTTAGAATTAAACAGGCTGCTGTTATCACTCCTTTAAAACTGATATGTGTAAATTGCCTTTCTTCTGATTGGATGCGCCACATTCAAAAGTCACTCCAGGCTGAAATACTCTACATAACTTCAGCATGAGTGGGCGGGGCTAAACTGCTGCAGGCCGAATGGATATATCATTCCCTTGGAATTATAAGGTCCTGTCTGTGTTCTGAGCAGTTTTGAGATATTATGCTTTAAATATTTTACATTCTAAATAGCAAAACTGATATGTGAACACATCTCTTTAATATATGAAAGCAACAGACACTCTAAATGTATTCTAAATGTACAATATCAAAATTCTATAACATTTTGGAACAGGTTAATGCAGATAGAACCCTCTACTCCTGAGAACTCACTTGAAAACATGAAAAGAAGCAATTATTTTCAAGGAACACAAATAGTTTATACTACAGTTAAACTTAATACTAAATTTAATGCTTTCTATAATATTTTTTGACATTTATTTGTATTATTTATTTATTTTTTATGACATTTATTTTTATAATTTTAGGACAAACCATCTTTTTCTTATTAAAAAAAGCATTGCAGATTAAGTATAAAGGTCAGTGCTAAATACTTTGTCCAGTGCAGAGGTTTAGTTGGACAGCAACCAGCTATAGTAAACTGTCCCAGCAGGTCAGTGTAGCTGGTCAGTCTAAAGTCAGTATAAGGTTTTGTTTTATAACAGAAATGTGACTCTAATGAGCCAAAATGTCCTATTTTGGGAGAAAGAAGAAAAAGAAAAGATGGGTGAATGAACAAAATTGATGTTTATGTTGTAATTAAGAGCCCATAAATGTTTACTATTTAACTATCTTTAAGGCTTAATAATTATAAAATTTAAGACAATAGAGTTTTTAAAGAAAACAGGCAGAGTTTCAACAATATGTTTTCATGTTTCATAAAGTTTTATAAACTTTTCCTGCCGTCACTGAGCAGAGCGACGACATGACAAAGAAGCAGAACCTGATTGGTCCACTTGTGTGTATTCAAAGTACTGGCTTGCAGATAGACCCTTATAGAACTAAGTTAGAGTTGGACTTTGGAGATAAAACCTTTTTGTTTTCTAGATAAAGAGTCCAAAAATGCATACAACTTAAAAACACCTCACATAATGTCAAGAAGTGTCACAGAATAAGAAAATGTGACTCAATTGTATCAAAACTCTAAAAAGTTTTAAAAATGATTAAAAAATTATTTTAGCTAAGCACATCAACAGAATGACAATCTCAAAACATTTTTTGAATTTTTCTTTTTATTTTTCCTTATAAAATCAGGTGAAATACAAAAGGAAGTAAGGGTTGCAAAACATCAGCGATACACAAAAGAAGCACAGAGCAGTTGAAATGTTATGTATATATATTGTGAAGCGAAAAATCCGAAAAACGCTCACAATTAAAATTTCTAACGACATTTTGTCGCTGGAATATAAATTTGAGAGGGGTTTTTTTTGGAGGGTTGAATTTAAATTTCAGTGGTTTACTGGGACTCGTTTTTTAATTAAATGTGGGAGGACGAAATGTGTGGCGCCAGTGAGCAACAGCCGGATTTGAAACTGGGTGAAACACTGACGGAAACGCAGGAAACGAAAGTGGAAATGTGTGACGGTTTGGAGTCTGAAGCTGCCTTTCTTGGCTCGGACAGCTTCGGACGTGAAACAGGCAGGCTGGTGTGAAGCTACAGTGTCCTGACCGTGAGTGTACGGGCCTAAAAAGTGTGCCTTTGAAATCAAAACAAACAAACAAACAAAAAAAAACAACCAGCACACGTAAGCAATACCATTACCGCATTCTTATTCCTCCCACAGAAATGATGAGGGCTTTTATTTTGTAAAAACAGGCAGACGTCGCAAGGCTATCGTTGAAACATTAACACAAGGTACATGGCATAAATCACGGTCATACTCTTTTCATTAACCATATTCATTTCTATTTACAGTTTATATTTACAAATTTCAGGAGTTTGTCGTTGGAGGCGCGACTGTGAGCTGTCGCTGACTGAGTAAACAAAAAATAATTATAAATGAAGGAGAGTAAACTGTGAACTGTATTTACACAGGGCCAGTTTGGATGCTGTCGCCGTGGCAACAGCTGTGGCCCGTTTCGAATGTGTTCGAGAGGCAGCAGTGCTTTTTGAAAGGCAGGTTGGGGGAAAATGCCTCCGAAGGGGGCGGGGCTTGTGGCACAGCATCACTCATAACTCCATTAGCGTGACCTGGAAGTGATTGACCATGATCTCGGAGATGTCGATGAGGAAGGCAGAGTGGTTGCTGTAGTGTTCGATGATGTTGTCGTCCATGTTCACGAAAATCCTGGAAAAGAAAACAAGAGAGTGGATGGTTAGCCATGATGAGTTAAAGTCAAAATAATAATAGTAATAAAATAATAATAATAATAATAATAATAATAATAATAAGATAAATTCATTATAAAGTCATTATAAACACTATTAACACTACAAACTCTCAACCACAAACTCTCCTTTATATATGTAAATGCACTGAATTTGAAAATCGAATTCTCCTCAATAATTTCAAAATAAAAGTGATGTAGTAGGCAAGCAATGTTGGTTTCAAAAGTTGAAAAACTGCCTAAGCTGAGCTCATTTGCATATATCAGTCTTAAAGGCACAGTAACGAAAACAGTGGACTGTACAAGAAAATATTTCAAGAAAAAACATGAAAAATGTTTAATTTTACTGGCCTAAATTGGTACAATTACAATACAGTATGGTTTAGTGTCAGCTCCCCAGGCCATGTACTCAAATTAATATCAGTGCATGCAGAGAGACTAATAAGAGCAGACTAACAACGAATATATCATTAAACAAAAAACAAATCTGAAGTAAAAATGATGAAAAGCTCAGATATTTCAACCCATCACAGCTATAATAATCATTTGCTGCAGCCGTGCACCTGTTGGTCTGTAATAAATCAGAGAAATGCTCCACTTGAAGTTGAACTATGTGTTTGTGTACATGTATGTGTGTATGTGCCAGGTCTGCCCGGCCTGAGGGCACGCACAGGCATCAGATCGACGATGTGGGTTGGAGAGAGAGAGAGAATGTGACCTAACCTGTCCTGCTCTTCCAAACACTATCATCATCCCGAGTGTATGAGGGTCTGAAGCCCGGGGCTCAGCCGTAAAACAAACCAGCTCATTTATGTAAGGATGTTTCACAGAGGTGTGATATAACAGAGGACGGTGGGTTCATTTGCATTTGGACCAGACTGCATGGACCACTGGTTCTCAATTACAGTCCTGGGAACGTCACTCTGCACACTTTTCCATTCTCTCTGCTCTAACACATCCTCCTCAGCTCGTAAAGTAGATAATGAGTTGAGCTTGAGGCATTACGACAGTAAAAACCTGGTCTTTCTAAGATCGAGAACCGCTGCCATAAATGCTGACTTGATTCAGGCATCAAACTAGCAGTGAAAGCAACAGCTTGGCAAAACCATAGCTAAATGAGCCTTCTAGCTCCAAAACTAAAGAAGGTCCCACATGGAAATATGATATATGGCCATATATGCACAAATATCATGAAGAGTCAGGCATATATTTTAAAATGTATGTACATTTTTGTTATGTACATATATATAAGCATCAAATATTGGACATATATGCATGATATATGAACCATACATATACATCTAAAAGGTGGATGAATACATATATGCATAATATATGGATCGCATAGATGTGCTATATAATGTACGCCATCCATATATGAATAATTGTCATATATTGTTAAATAGATGTATTTTTATGTATGTTTTGTATATGTTGACGACTTAAATATATCTGAAAATGGCCAGTTTCAAGTATGTTGGCATATATGTCACATGTGTGTCCATATGTGACTAAAATAAGTTGAGAAATAAGGGAAATCCATATATGCTAATCTATCATATACTTGAAATGCATCAGACATATATTTGAAATCCATGCATTGCAATATATCAGATTTCCATATGTGAAGTGTGCGATGATTGAGGCATACAGTTAGCACCATGCTAACTGCTACCTTCCATTACTTGTTAAGTCAAAAAAGTTCCAAAGCTAATGAAGGTAATGAACAGGGGAGAGATAACTAGTGTGGCTCTCACAGGCATTGCTCAGTTTCTTGTAATTATACTGTGCTGTGGGTTACACAATCAAACGATTTGGCCCAGTTTAGCTCCATCCTGACCTCCTCCCTATCAGTTCTGAAATCTGTTCTGTTCTCCTGCTGAGGGCACGGCGGAAAACATTAAACACCACACCATCCTCCGCTGACTCTTCTTCCTTTTGTTCTCCTTTTTAAAGTCTTTTTTTTCCTGTAAAGCAAGCAGCAATTACAGCATTCCGCAAACCCGCAGGCTTCTCGCCGGCCCGGTCTGTCAGCTTAGCTTCCACGGAGGTGACGGAGAAACCAACAAAATCACTTGCTTCACCACCGAGAGAACATTTTAACACATCCCTGCCTTTCTTTATCTCCTGCACCCGCTCTGTCATTAGCCTTAAACGCCAGAGACAATCGCTAAAATCTCCCCCTTCCTCTAAGCCATCTCGTCTGCATCTGATTTGGTGCTAATTTAGCGATTTAGGGGCAAAAAAAATGCTACTCACCCTCTTTTGCACTTCTTGAAGATTTTCCCAATGGTGTCTTCTTGCAGGCCGTACTTTTCTGAAATCTGAGAGGGAGAAAGATCAAATGAGACGAGTGTCACACCAAGGAGGTTTCGACATCTTCACAAGTGTGAGAAAGAGATAAATTAAAAAGTAGGAACGAGATAGATTGCAACGAAGGAGGTAGAAATAAGAGAGGACAAATAGATAACAAGAGAAGAGTGGAATGAGAAGGAGTGCGAAGAAATAAACAGAGTTAAGAGTGAAAAAAGAAAAGAAAGACAAAGTTTAAAGAGATGAAGAGTGACAATAAGAGATAAGAGTGCAGGATAAGAAAATGAGTGCGAAGCAAAATAGGACAGGAAAGAATGGCAAGAAAAGAGAAAAGTGAAGGAGTAAAGAAAGAGATAAAGCTGAACTCACTGCTTGTCTGAGTCCTTTCAGCGTCGGCGAGTTGAGCATGAGGGCGTCAAACACTTCCTCCGTCTCCTGCCGGACGTACAGTAGGACTGTGAACAAAAACAAAAACAAATAAACAATCGTAACTTCAACTTTATGAAGTTTCTGCTTCTACAGGTTACTGCATTTGCGTTATTGGGTAGGTGTGGTTTGGTGGTGTCTGTGTTGTGGTGCGATGGTGTTTATGTTGTGCTTTAGTTTGTTGGTATTGGTGTTGCACTGTGTTGTGTTGTTTTTGTTGTTGTGGGGCTGTTTGCTGATTGGCCGAATGATATTTATGTGTATTCTGTGTTACGTTGGTGGTGTTACGTCATAGTAATGGTGTTGTGTGTTGTGTAGTGTTGTTGTGTATTTACCTCTCTGTTGCTGTTCTTTGCGGGGCTGTTTGGCTGGTGGGCTGCACTGCTCTGGGTCGTAACCCGCCATACGCTTCAGTGGATTCCTCTCGTTCTCCTCCGTGCTGCTAGGGGGCGCCTGTGAGAAACAGATAAGATCAGCATTAGAGAAACTGAACAGGCCACGGAAGAGTTCCCTCGTTTCCTATCTTCTGCGTGGTGGCTCGAATGATCTTATCGTTCTCTCACCTGCACAGGTGCAGCCTAGCGATACATAACGACACAAACACTCACTCGCTAGAGTGTGTATCTAACCGCCCAATCAGAGACACACACATGAAGAGTGTAAATCTCTGACCTCACATCGGTTTCATTCTGGTTCATAAGGAAACATTTCAGGGAATGAAATCTCAAATTGAGCCATGATTCGATTCCATTTTTGTTGTTTCTCATGGTACCTGTTGCCCTGTATATTGTCTGGTTCCATTGACATACATTAAAAGTAAAGCACATTACTGACCACCCCATAGTCCAGACCTCAACGTCACTGAATATGTTTGATTTCTTCAGGAAATGATCAACCAACTTCTAAGACTGAACTTTGAAGGCGTGTCTGCAGATTTCTTTGAGAAACTGAAAGTGAGTCTCCAGAAAAGAATGGAAGCTGTAATAAAGGGAAAGAGTGACTTACTGAACACTCAGACAGCTGATATTAGATTAAATTAATTTAGTTTTTTCATTTTTTTGTCAAATATGTGTTTTTCTGATTCTGAAAAATGAGTAAGTTGAATGAAACAAACGAAGGCTGCTCTCTAACTTTACTGTACCAATGTATAAATATATGCGCATCCACAGACATGCATGTGTGGGTGCATGCATGCATGTAAACAAGAGATGTGGTGAAATGCACATCTTATCTTCCAAGTCATGTACACACACACACACACACACACACACACACTGTGGGAAAGGGAGTGTGTCAGAACAGTGTGCCCCTCCTCCACTCGACTGTGTAAACACCACCCCGTATGTGTGCGTTAATCCTGTGTGTCAGTCAGCATGGCCGGCTGCTCTTCAGGTGAGTTTCGTTTGCTGTCGTGTAAACTCCGTAACGTGCCAATCACACACACTTTCTCTCTCTCTCTTTTCCCAGCCCACTCTTCTCCCACTACATTTTTTCCCACACTTTTCCTGCACTCTCTGCGCTCCAGGCGTTATGGGACATGACTCGACAGCACTGAGGCGAACCGCAAATCCTGGGATTCCTGCAGGTGTCTCACGTGTGTGATTGTGTTTGTGCGTGCGTAAAATGGTCAAACAGTCCTGACGAAAACTTCATTTTTTTACACTGACAGGACAAAACCACTTCTTTTTGGATCTTGAGGTTAAGGTTGGGGTTAGGTTTAGATCATTCTTATTACATACTAATAATTGCATATATATAATACTTATTTTTATAGCTTTACAAGTCTATTTCTTAATCTAGTATCATTTTTAATGTTGCTTTTTATTTAAATGTAGTAGCAAACCAGAGTTTAAATAAAGAATATGATAATGATGAGGATGATGATGATGATATAGGTACTTATACATAATACATATGTGGCATATTATTATATTTATATACCTACAAATCATTGCTGTCTGGCAAAAACCTTGTATCTCCATTTTTTGTTATTTTCCACTATTTCACCATTTGAAATTTCCAGTTAGTCTTTGAATCGTGTTAAATTTTCATCCATTTTCCAAAATCACTTGGAAAACAAATATATTACATTAACACCCATTAGAAGTTAAGAGTGTTTGTCCTTCTCCTGTAAACTGGTCATTTTGGAGATTTAAGGTTTTGTTTCAGCCTCAATGATATATAGGTCTTTATATATGGGGCATGTTGTTATTGCATATAGGTACTTACTAGTCGCTGCATGTTGCTGTAGTGTGTCTCGGGAATAAACAGTACAGGCTGGGTGATGTGGTCATCCAGTGTTTTGAAGAAAGAGCAGTCCTTTCCAATAGAGCTGGACACCACTGTGTGCTTATTAGAGTCTGAAAAAGGTTAGAGAAAAATGGTTTTCAACTGATCTTACAAAGGATCATTTAATTCTATATGGACAAGAGTATAGACAAAATGCTGCTACTGTTTTTAGCAATGCTAATGTACTTCAGTCCATGTTAATAGGTAACAGTGAGTCACACAGTGTCAGAAACCACATAATCAAGTCTATTAGCGATACTGAACAAGTCCACACTGTTTGAGGCGAGTGTGCAATGATTTAGGCCTGCAGTTAGCTCCATGCAAAAAGAGGCTAGCCTGTTAGCTTCTTTTAGTTGTTAACTACATTAGCATTGTAGCTCCAGTGCAACATTGAAGAAGCAAACCTTAGACACCGTCTTGACGGCTTGACTAAATTGAAGATGAACAGATAAACTGTAAATTAGATTTCTGTGCTAAACTTTAGCATTGCTTTAGCATGAATGTACAGTGTTACTTTAGTATCTTATATATGTAGAGAGAATAAATACATTTTTCTAACTCACTTAGCTTAAGTTATGCACTAAGAATGAACAGTTTTTCTGCTTTTTCCCTGCATTCTTAAAAAAGATGGTTCTTAAAGGGTTCTTTGGTAAAGATAACAGATCTATATAGAACAATGAACACTCAAAGAACCATTTGCTTAGCTGGTTATTTGCAGGGTTTTTTAGAGAAATGGAGAATAGTATATGGTTCTATACAGCACCAAAAAGGCTTCTTCTGCTGTTATAAGTTTGACATTATAAAGCAGAGCTATTTTTGGTGCTATATAGAACCAAATACAACCATTTCACCATGCAAAGAACGATTTAAGCACTCAAATGGTTCTTTGAGTGTTCATTGTTCTATATAGAACTATTGTGTTTACTAAAGAACCATCTTTTTTAAGAGTGAGGCTTGGTAGCCCATACAGTATCGAGCCTGTTTGTAATCCTCAGTTGTTCAGTGTTTTGTTGCTGGGCGTTTCCCAAAGTCTTTACTGGAATCGCCGTCAGTAATTGGTTGTTTGTGAGAATGAGATGAGAGCTGTGTAATTGTATAATAGGCTGATGGGTGTGATTGACACTCACTGTTATTAGTGGAGTCTGCGTTGGTTTTGACCCGCCTCTTCGTTCTTTTCCGCTCTTCGTCCCTCATCTTCCTCTCGGCCCCCTGCCAGACAAAAAAACGATCCAATTTGCAATGTTAGAGACATCCAGAAGTGAGCCCTGAATCAGCATCAGCTTCTTATGTTCACCAATGAACGTAACACTATCTTGAATCTGCTAGCATGGCTAAAGCCTCTCTGAGTTGCTTACATCTTCCCCACTGTACTTGCCACATATAATGAACTTAGCGCAAAAACAGAACCTATCAAACTGTAACAATGAAGTCTTGCTGCTCAGCAAATCGGCCATGCTATGTGGCTAGAGGTGTCAGCTAGCTAGCTAGCTATATTAAAACAGCCAAAGTCTATCAGATGTATCCCTAAAAGACTTGATTATGCACCAAGATCTAATCTTACAGTGTGTTCTTTCACACACATACAAAATAAATATCATTTGAAGTTAATGGAACAGTTTTAATATATGTATTTTGACAAAAACTGAGTTTCTACATTTTCTCATTAGGCTAGATGGGATTTCTACCAGCGCAAAGCTAGTATGTATGAAAGAATGCATTTGTAGACCTCAAGAGCTGTTGACATTACTTAAAAAATGGTTTCATTTTCATTGCTAGCCGTGATTGTCATCTAAAAGTTACATGACATCAGAGTGATTAGCAGCTTCTCTCAACAAAACAGCCTGCTAACACGCAAAACTCAAGCTGTGGTCCTGAAAAAACAGCTTCCAGCACCATCTGATGAAAAACACGCAGGTTCCTCGTTCTGCAGAGATGCACTTAGTTCACCTGCTGTGGCTAAACCAGTCTGACGCGTGTTTCTGAAGCTAGTCTACCCTTCCTACCTCCAGAAGGTAGGCTAAAGGCAGCCTAGCCCCAGAGGGCATCAGAAGGCATCAGATAAAGGAGATAAGGGGAAGATGAGGGCCTACAAGGCTTTATCAGATCACTACAGAACAATGGGATCAATGCTGCGTCTGAAGGACATGCTATTGGCAAAAACTGGTTTATGCTTCACTCCAGACAGAAGAGAGAAAGAGAAAGATTCTGAGATGAGTTTCTACCGCAGAGTCACAGAAAGCATGACAATTAAAAGGTCAGAGATCAATGTTAGGGTTTGGGAGGAGAAACACGTCAGCGTTTGAATGGACAATGCATTGAATTATTGAATTATCTAGCAGTAGAATGTTAGTCTTTACAACTATGTTCCTGAATGTTGCAACGTCACAGTCAGAACTTTGTCTAAATTTGTTGTATCTTTTTCATTTTTTGTATGACTTGAAACGCCAGCTGCTTCTTTTAATAGCTAAAAAAATCTAGTTCCATTCACTTCCATTCAACACTAAGGACCAAAAAGTTGTGGATTTTATTGCAGCAGTGACAATTAGAAAAGTAAAAATTCAAAAAATCAACAAAGAAATAAAAATTAAAAAAAGATTATAATAAGGAAGCAATACAAATATAACAATGTACAAATAAAAAACAAAGAAAAAAAATATAATAGTAATAAAGAAGCATCTGAGCAAAAAAGAAAAAACTCCAACACAAACAACCAAAGTAAAGCGTACCTTATCACAGAAGACTTTGATCTGGCAGGCGGCTCTGTGGATGAGGTGGTTAGAGCCGGAGCTGAAGTCGTAAGTGTCGATCTGCAGGTTCAGAGGGAGACCCTTCACACCCTTCTGAGAGGAGAAGTCTGTGCTGAGGGAGTTAATGCCAATATAAACCTGCATGAAATAAACATACAGATGTGAGCTGCAATACACTGTTTTTAACATTGTCCCATTGCATTTGGGATACAATTGGATATTTAATGCAATCCTGAAGTGTAACAAACTTGCTTATGCGGTTAGCGACCGTGTATGGTGCACTGCTGCATCCAAATTTTGAAAACCCTGTTTAATTCCATGTTTCATTGATTTTCCAAGTGAAAAATGAGACATCCTCTACAGAGGTCGCACTCAAATATGGCATTTTCTGACAATTTTAATGCACAATTTCTACTAATTTGAGTTGAACTTATTAGAGAAAAAAATTGTAAAATATAAAATGTGCCGTAAGTTTTGCAAGGACCACAATTTATGTTTTAATTTATTTTTATGTTTTTTTAGTTTAATTCAACTAATGAACAGCAATTGTGCATTAAAAACAAGGATATGTACTTCTTTTCTTGTCGCTTAGAAAATAAACAAAGCGTGTCATTTGAGCAGGGGTGTCAAAACTTTTGCATAGGACTGCACTGTAAACGTATAATCTGCAATTATTTAAGCAGGTCTGTTCAAGAACACTTAGCCATGCTAACTGGTGAGGTGTACACATCCATTACTTGTTAGCCACATTAGCTTCCAGTGCTAAAACTGAAGAAGCAAAACATGAGAAAAACTGTGCAAATTTGACTTTTTCACCAAACTATCACTTTAATATATGAGAAGCACAGCTGACTCTGGATCAGCTCCTCTTATTACTGAAGCTGTACAGGTTTGTGACCCCTGAACTGCGATTGTGAAACATGCGATCACACTGACAGTCCTGCAGGCGAATGAACCACGGAAGGATCTGCTGCTCATTGGCTGTTAGAGGAGAGCAGATATGATCGGGGTGACCCAGCCTGGTCACGCGCTAAAGGAGGACTGCTAGTGTGGGCGGCAATTGCGCAGCATTTCTTCTAAAGGAAAGGTGTGGAATGAAAGAAGGACAAACGGAGCATGACGGAACACGTCTAGAACCATAGGTGAAAAATAAAGGAAGGGCTTAGCATCTCAGAGGATAATACATACTGGACTGCCATCCACAATGCATTTACAACAGCACTCGAAAGGCTGTTACTACAATCTTAATCTGAATATTACACTGAACAAATATCTCCACAAGCAGACTGTCGAGAAACCTATGGCATATTTCTCATTTTGAGGTTGTTGTCAGATGATTCAGCTTTTTTTTTTTTACACATATTTGGTAATTTTTCTAGACAAATTGTCTTATTCTACTGGATTTTCAACAGAATACGATAATTTCACATAATAAAATTACTTACAAACAATAAAATTAATCACATTTTAAATATTAAAATTATCTCGTGTTGAGAAATATTAGAGAAATATTAGATATATTGACTAGGTTTAAGATAATTCAACACGTTTACATATTTTTATACATCTCTATATGTTCATTTATTGTTTTTTTACAAAACAATTTATTCTGTGTTACTTTTAACAGATTTTACTCATCACAGAATCTATATCAGAAATGTGTCATATTAATGTGTTAGTTAATTAATTATTTAATTCCTTAATTAATTAGGAGAGTGCGCCTCCTATGGGGGCGCGATCCATCTTTTCTTCTCTCCTGCTCAATCGTCAGCCATGATAATTATCAGGTGTGCGTGTGTTGTTTTCTTTTCCTTTTTGTTTTCTTGTTTTCTTTTTGATGCTCTTTCTCTTCTCCACCTGTTCTTGGTTTCGCCGTCCCGCCCTAAACTGCCTCGGGATATTCTGTCTCTCTCTATGTCTCTCTCTCTCCCTCTCTCTTTCTCTCCCTGTTTTCATGACAGGTGCCGGGGTGGTGACATGCCAAGAATTCCTTTGCCCTTCTGTGTGTGTGTGTGTGTGTGTGTGTGTGACTGTGTGTATGTGAGCGTGACTGTGTGTATGTGAGCATGACTGTGTGTGTGCTCATACCTTGGCTTCTTCATTGGTGTTCCAGATGAAGGACAGGGCATTGAATGCCACCTCCTCCACATTGCTGATCCCGCTGAACACTTCTTTGTAGTCGGCTGTGGTCGAGAAACAATAAAAATAAGAATATTGGACAAAATTGCTACCAAAAAGCGACAGTTTTCATCAACAACTGCAGCTACAAGGCTAAGGTACACTGTTAAAAAACATGGTTCTCTTCAAGGGTTCTTTAGTAAAGATAGTGGTTCTATATACAACCATGAACACTCAAAGAACCCTTTGCATGCTTAAATGGTTCTTTGCATGGTGAAATCATTCTTCCAATTGATGGGCAATGTGCTGTATATGGTTCTACATAGCACCAAAAGGGTTCTTTCATTGTTACAGGCTTGACATTGCAACAATAGCAGAACCCCTGTAGGTGCTATATAGAACCATATACAACACAATCTCCATCAATCTGAAGAACGATTTAACCATGCAAAGAACCATTTAAGTATGCAATAGTTCTGTATAGAACCATGCACTAAAGAATACACTGAAAAAAGTTGGTTCTTCAAAGGTTCTTTAGTAAGCACAGTGGTTCTATTTAGAACTAGTAACACTCAATGAAACCATTTGCATGATTAAAGGGTTCTTTGCATCATGAAAGTGTTCTTCAGATTGATGGAGAATGTGCTGTAGATGGCTCTATATAGAACCTTTTTGAAAAGGGTTCTATATAGCACCGAAAAGGGTTCCACTGTTGTTACAAGCCAAAGAACCATTTTGTGGTACTATACAGAACCATTTTTGCTAAGAGTGAACCATCTTGTTTAAGAGTATAGCTATGCATGCGTTTAGCAACATGCTAATCGGTGGGGTATAAGCTCCCATTACTGGCTAGCTACATTAGACTCATAAGGCTAACTGTGCTGGTGAACACACCGATATCGATGACCCTCTGCTTAGCCGTCGGCTGTCGTGAGTGCCAGTGATTCCAATACTTCAGCTGCATCTCCGCACTCTTATCATTCTCAAACACCGCCATGATCACCGTCTGGGGGAGAGAGAGAGAGAGACAGAGAGACAGAGAGAAAGAGGAAAACAGAAGAGAGAGAGAGATGGAAAGAGAGAGAAAAGAACAAAGAGATAGAGAGAACAGAGAGAGCAAGAAAGACAACAGAGAGTGAATGAGAGAGAGGGGAGAAGAAAGAGAGAAAACAAAATAGAGAGAGAAAATAGAGAGAATGAGAGAGAGAGAAGAGAGAGAAAGAATAGAGAGAGAGAAAACAGTGCAAGAAAGAGAAAGTGTGAATGAAAGAGAGAGAGGAAGAAAGAAAAAGAACAGAGAAAGAAAGAAAGCAAGAAAAAAAGGAAGAACAAAAGAGGAAAACAGAGTGAAAGCGAGACAGAAAGAGAGAAGGAGAGAGAGAGAGAAGAGCAGAAAGATAAAGACAGACAGAAGAACAAAAAGAGAATGAGAGATAGATAGATAGAGAGAGAGAGAGAGAGAGAGAGAGAGAGAGAGAGAGATTGATTAGTGTTTGTGTACTTCAACTGTTTATGACTTACAAGATCTGGACTCAAGGGCTACCTGAGGAATTAGCTGTTTGAAATTAGCTGAAAAAGCTAGTTGGCTAACGCTTGGGACATTTAGCTGATTTATAAATAGAAGTTTAAATATAAATATATAAACAGAGACAAATTAAATTTGGAAAATATTGCATGTAATAAAATATTGCCTCTCGGTAATGCTAGTGTATGACGCTGTTGAGACAAACTTGTCATCGAGCTAATTCCTGTGTTTATGGCTTTTGTCAGAGGATATTAGCCGTGTGTACAGTGAGTGTGTTAAAGCCCAGTGTGTGTGTGTGTCACGCCCCTCTCTCTCCATCTCTGAGGCTTTAGTCACCGCGAGCTTTGTGCTACAGGCTACGGGGCAAGGCCGGATTTTGCACGCACGGGTGTGTGTTCTACACAACCAGTGACAAAGTTAGCCATCGTACACGTCACTCACACACACACACACAATCACAGTCACACACACACACAAACACACACCACAACAAGAATGCAGTTTTCCAAGAGGAGTGTTAACTCTAATCATGAGGAAATGATAGATTTTTACCTACTGCTCTTCATTAAAGGAGCACTGTGATCAACATGAAGCTGAAGAACTAGCCAAAGGATTAGCATGCTAACTTTATGGTTAACCTCCAGCGGGTGAAGTCAGAAATAAGGTCATTCCAACAGTTCGTCAGCTGTGATCACCCAGTCATAATCGTTTCCTCAGAAATTAACTGTTTAGCCCTGAGCTTTAGAACGACCCAAAAAGAGAATCGACAGCTTTTTTTCCTCAGGATCGATCTTCATAAATGACAATCCTTCCCATATCTATCCAGTTCTGTCAAAACTTTTGTATTTAACGGCGTATAGCACCCATAATGCCTATAATGTTAATGTATGCAACAACCACTGCGCCTATTTAACTGTACACATTTAAGTTTGCATATATATTAAACAGTACATGCATTAAATTGTATTTGTACTGTTTTTTATTGCAACAGCAGTGATATTGCACTGATACTCATATTGCAGCTGTACATGCTATTCACTCTACATCTGTTCTATTTCTTTAGAAACTATATTATTATATATATATTAGAAATACTATATGTTGTATGATAGGTCACTCACCTTTACTTTGCTGCACGTAACTCCAGCGCTGCTGTCCACTCCCTGCAGGGTGATGGGGTAGAACTGACCTTTGTTCAGGTAGACCATGGGCACCTCTGTGTTTTTGTTTTGGGAAGCTTGTGGGGCGCCAAGGATGAACTGAAAGTCATTCCTGGAACAAAATCATTATTGATGTAACCGCAGTCAAAATATAAATTATTTCTGAGCTCATTGAAACGAGTGGAGAAATTGTGTGGAAAGTGCAGATTCTAAACTTTCAAAACCACATTTGTGTGTGTAAATTGAAGCGGAGATATCTAATTGAGAAGTTATTCTTGTATGCCAAATCTTTGTCATGTAAACATAACAAACAAAAAACACAAACCTATAGATACAAAATGCAAATCAAATGAAAATGTAATTTATTGCTGCGATTAAATATGTAATTATGTAATTATATTCAAATCATTATGTGATGTGAATTAAATGCGTAGAAAACAACACTGATTATAATAAAAAACAACCCTGAAATCTTGGCAGGAAATATAAAACAGACCGAAATGATTGACAGCGTGAAGCGCAGATGAAATGATTAAAACGTGTCTCACCTGTATCTCTCCGGAGGCGAGTTTGAGTACGAGTCGGAGTACACAGGGCTGGAGTGGCCAACAAAGTCATTGCTGTAACCTAGAGTCTGTTTTGGTGGACAACAACCGACACGTGATACATTAGAGACATTATATTGAATCATTTTAAATGAATCACTTTAGAACTGTTTCAATTGTTTGTTAAATTGTTCTTTTCACCAGTTAAAAGGATTTAATATGTGCAAAATTAATAGCAAGAGGCAAAATTTGGACACGTAAGGCCTCAGACACTCACTTCAGTGCTAGCGTCCGGGTACGAGGTGTCCGAATGCCATGGTTTCTGCGGTGTGGTCAGCAGAAGAGATTCAACGATGTTGTTGATGACTTGCTTGTCGTAGCTGTCGCCCGCCATGCTCTGGATGTAGTTGCTGTTGCCCGGTGACAGCTGCTTTGTGACTTGTGACTGGCTGACAGAAATGTTCTCGGACAGCAGCTTCATGATGTGGGAGTTTTCCAGAGTAGTCAGCTCAGGGGATGAGCCAGTGGATGTCCTGAGGAGTGAATGGTTAAAAGGTATGTGATAAATATGCACCTGTGAAAATTAATTTTCCGCAAATCTGCACATAAACCTGTCCGGCTAGTTTGGTTTAATTTGGATTATAATGGGGGCCAAATGGTACTATAACTCATAAAATGTAAAGTTTAATTTTAATGTATATGTTATTTAACAGCATATGTTATTTAACTGCATAGACTTTACTCCTAAGCTAAAAATTGCTAGTCAGTTACGCTAACTCTACCTCCAGCAATGGCCTAGATGTAGTGGTATAGTGTTCTTGTTAGTCATTTATGCTAACTCTACCACCTATAAACATCCAGCTGTAAGGTTATAGCGTGCTTGCTAGTCACTTATGCTAACTCCCATAACCAATAAAGGCCCAGCTGTAATAGTACAGTGTTCTTACTAGTCACTTATGCTAACTCTACTACCAATAAAGGCCCAGCTGTGATGATATAGTGGTCTTGCTTGTCACTTATGCTAACTCAAACACCATAATGGCCTACCTGTGATAGTACAATGTGCTGGCTAGTCACTTACACTAACTCTAACACCAATAAAGGCCAAGCTGTGATTGTATAATGTGTAAAAGTCAACAGAAGTGGCTTTGAATCTCAGCATTGTTTGAGAAGAGTGCCCATAAAGCTGGGTGGGAGCTATTTGCTGGCTAATCCACATCTCTACTTCTGTTTGCCTTTCTCTTGGGCTTGAACTCAAGGAAAAAAACAAACTACTCCCAATCCCCTGCCATTTTTCATCGGGACAAAAGGCCGCTGACTCAGTCCTCTCTGGGGTGGGATGGGGAAGAGGATTAGCATCTTAAACCAACTCTGACCTCAGCTAAACCTGAGCTAATCCCGCTAGCCCTCTATCTACACATGCAGAAATAAAAGGTTAGTATATGAGAACAGCTATGCTAAGTTTCATACACCTGTCTCTCTTGGTACACACCTCCGTGGTACTCTTTCTCACCCATTCATGTATGTATGAGGGTTTTCTTTTATCTGGGCAGGGCGGGAAATGAACTCGTACAGTGAAAGCGACCGGACATAGGTTAATTGACAGCTCATCTCTTTTTGCTAACTCTGGGCAGAAGCAACGGCTAATGTTTTTACCTCTCCATAGGTTTAAATGTACTGCCAGCACGCGAACAGGACGTCAACTTCTGATCTTTGGGAGTCTGCAAAGATGAATTAGTACGTTAGAAGGTCAGTCAATCAAGAAAGGTTCCATGGTGGACAATCAGGTAGCAATCGGACAATCAATTACTCTGAAGGAACTAACTAGTTCATTTTTTTACCTTGCAAGTGTCATAGAAAAGGGGGATACTGGTGAGGTCATCATCAGTGGACAGCTTAGGTTTAGCCTTGCTGATGTCGACACTGTCCATGTAGCTCCAGGAGTCCATGAGGTAACTGTCAAGGTAGCGTGGGTAATTGAAACTCTCGTTCTGCAAAATCATCAGAGCCCTACAGCAAAATATTGAGAGAGTTAGCAAAGATGTCCAAGAAATAGGGGAAGTTTTCAAGCCATGCAAGATTGATACATGGACCGATCAGCCCATTTACAAGTCAAAAACAGAGCAAGATGAGGCAATGTGAGTTTAACAGCTGTACTCAGCTACCGCTGAGTTTCGCCCTGAGGCAGCCAGCAGTTTCGATTGCAAAAACACAAATCTTGAGCCTCTTTGAGTGAGCAGCGGTTAAGATTGGCAGTGTTTACACCTCCCACATCAAACTTGCTGAAACATGGCTGACCTCCACACTCCAATTCCACTGGAAGCAGAATGAAACTCATCTAAAATGAATAAGTCTGAGATTGTTCGCTTCTAGATCTTATCAGCTCTTGAGGCTACCTCACAAACACTAATAGCTGAAACCCAGAGATCACAAACTAAACCCAAACACATTACAAGCAGAAACTAAGTGGGATTCATTTTGTGGACTCCCCCTGAAGCCTCCTGGATTAGCAGGTAGCAAGCAAACAGTGAGTTTACTCACAGCAAGCGCTTTAGCAGCTGAGTTCACAGTGCAGGTAAGAGTGCATGTTTGGCAAAGAGAGCAAATTAACACATTTCTTGTTGTGCGTTCTACCAAAACATTCCCTCCACATTCCTTCAATGCTTACAGAATTTATTCCATTTAGTAGCTATCTGGAGCGCTATCTCAAACACCAGCCTGTCACCTATTCCTAAGCCTGTTTTAACCATGTCATTGAAAAGCAAGCCCCGTGTCTCGGCTCACCAGACCTTTTTCAGCCTTTTTTTGAACGGAGGCCTGAATGTCTAAATGGCCATATTAAGTGTCTATGCTACAGTAAGCAGATGGAAGCCAGCTTTTGTGCGACAGAAGCCCCTAGGACAGCAGACGCGTCCACTGACAGACACATACTATAATTATTCTCTCTTACACAGCTCAGTGAACACTCTCGGTCTTGGTGTCAGCTATCTCAAAAAGCCCCCATGGACCCAGAAAAGAGGATGGGGTGTCAGAGCTTAGAGCAGCGAAACTCCCACCGACACGCTGAGATATAAACACAAACACAGGTGGGTTGATTTCATATATTAAAAAAAACATACACAAACAACAAGTTGCCTCACTTTGTCTCCTCTACATCATCTGGAAGTGCTCAAAATATTAGCCAGCAAACCTTAGCATTTAGCGTTTAGGATTGATACCCGTTTTAGGATTAGGATTAGGTTCTCGATGGAGGTTACAGTGATGTTAATGGATATTATAGTTAATGACAAGCTAAGCATTTGCAAAGCATGCAAATGCTTACGTGAAACTCAAGTTAGCATGCTAACAACAAGTAGCAAATATTGGACACTATTCTGTTTGTAATGTATTAGTGATCGATTAGAAGAGCAATAGAAGAGCAAATGTCCACATTTTCCTGGCCCTCCTGCATTAACCCCTTAAATCCCAGATTTATTATTCAATTTTTAATGCTAATTCTCATTATTAACCACTTTTTATTAATAAACTGTTTAGTAATGTAAAGGTTTAGCAGTAAGATTAGGATTATGTGTTATGTTGAGGTTTAGGTAATGTTAATAGATATAGTCGAATGTTATTTAATGACAAGCAAAGAAAAAACTTCAGTAAAGCTTAAGCTAACACATCGACAACAAGGAAACAGTGTGTATTACCGTTAATTTTAGAGCAAATCTTTGTATTATCTTGACTCAACACCTGCATGCTAACACTTATTATTAGCCACTATGAAACTAATGTAATGCTATGAAAGTAATGGAAGTTACGGAGTTATTGCAGTGAGAAATTGAAGTGTGGAATGTCCCAAATTCCCTTAACGGTTAAACACTGAAATCTGACATTGCTTTTCAAAAATGTTTAAAAGTACATTTTAAAGCAAAGTCCACTTACTCAGTCTCCTTGGTCATTTCTTCCCTGAGAGGCTGTAGAAATAAAATCCGTTCTTTGCACTCTTCTCTCTCGTAATCTTCCTCGTCAGACTATAACGGAGACAGCCAGCTGTGTGTGTGTGTGTTTATCCCGCAGAGTGAAGAGGTTTTGATTTGGAACCTGCGGCTGCTCGCACATTTAAATGCCCTGACAGGTAAGCTTTCCCTCACTCACGTCTGATTGGTCGACAGGCCGGGACAGGTGTGTGATGGTACAGGTGGATGCGCCCCCCTCACCCCACCACCCCTGTTAACTCTCGCCGTGCTGGGGAGAAACTTCAGCAGGTGTGTGTGAGTGTCAGTAATTAGCACATGTAATAGAAGGCTGAGATTTATCCGCGCGGGTGTGAAGTGAGTGTCATTTAAAGTCAGAAACCAAAGGCAGAGCGAGAGAAGAGGTCTTTATTATGCTAATGAAGGCCCAGTATCATCGTTTGTGTCTCTGGATCTAACACTGGATCAGACTCGGGAGGGTTTTGGTCTTTAATGATACAACTTATTGCTGGATTTACAATGAGTGAAGCTTTTCTTTAGTCCATTGATGTTATATTCAGTATTTAATTGCTGATGGAATAAAATATTTTTCCTCCATTTTTGTTGGTCTAAAATTGTTTACAATATTAACATTCTACTTTAACATTAAGTGTTAAAAGTTAAGAACATTTTTTTCCATCTCCGTGTTACCATTTTGTTCACACTGCTTTTTGGTGATACTCAATTGATAATTAATAACTTTATGGTTAGGCATTAGTTTAACCCCTTAAAACCCCAGGCTTATTACACACTAAGGCTTATTATTCAGTAACTACAGGGACTTCAGTGCAAACTGGTTGAGCTTTTCTTGGGTTATAGAAGTGTGTATTAAAACTTTAGCCCCTCCAGAGGGTCTTGGTTAGAAGTAAGAGTGGATTTGGGGTTAAGGTTAGGTTTAAAGTGAATTGTAATAAATTTAGATTTAAAGTGAATTTTCATCTTTCACACTCAACTTCAGATTCCATTGCATTTAATAGAAATTTAGTTGAAAGTTAGTTCAAGACAGACTTTCATCTACAAAGTATCTACAGTGGACTCTCAAAAATAAAGTGTTAGTCATATCATCGCTGTTGGAACAAAACATTATATTTCCAAAATATTCTTAACTTTGAATGTAAGGTCTATAAATTGCTGCTGTTGGAACAAAAAGTCGTATCTCCATTTTTGTTGTTTTTCAGTTTTTCACATAATCTGAAAATGCCTGTTGTCCTTTATGTTGTGTGTAGATTTCATGGTGAATGGACCAAAAGAAACAGCCCAAAACTACTTGGAAAAAAGTCTGGTTCCACTGACTTACATTAAAAGTAAAGTATGTTTTTCCTTCTCCTGTAAAGTTAGCATTTTGAGGATACAAGGTTTTCTGCCAATACATATTCTACAAATAATATGTAATAATATATAATTATCTCTTGAATGAAAACATCAATGTATTCCAAAAGTGACAATCATATCTTGAGGCAGATAACTTGATGGTTCTGCTAAATAGATAATCACAGTATAACTTTATTCTCTGAATAACTTCATGTTGTTTCCAGTATACTTGAAATATTTAATACTACGTCTGAACGTACTGTTGCCTGCTGTATCTGCAACTCATTGTTGTATATAAAATAGCAAAAAAATAATTGAAAACCGATTGCAAACTTTTCAACAAACACACAGACACTGCTAATGTCCTTGTAATCTGAGGGTCCTCATAATGTTGGTGAATAGGTCAGTATTGTATGTCATTTACCACATACACCAACACACGTGTACACACATACTGTCCTGCAGAGAACAAGATGTTTTCAAGGATTTAAGATGAGGAATCTTTGTTGATTGCTTTGCACCCGGAGGCAGTAACTACACAGATCAGACTTCACCAACCACTCAACAACCACCTGCAGCGAAACATCCACACACCGCTTATTAGTGATTGCGTATTGCTTTGCACAGCACTGCTGTTATCAGATGGTTTATTATTCTTCTTCTTGGTTCATATTTTTTTGTCTGCTAACTCGTCCTGCAGTTTTCAAGATATCAACACCGTTCCAACCGCAGAATGTTCAGTCTGATAGGAATGGTGTGCTTGTAAACAGCTTTTTGATCGGACATATGGTTTTTGTACGATCACTATTAAATGAAGAATTTGTTTCCCATAGGAATCAATGGGGTGCAAAAGTTTGTGCACCCAACTAATGTTATTTTGGTACAAGTTCATTATTAACACACTGTTAACTCTGTGTGGAACCACAGCAACCACCTAGGAACACCCTAGCAACCACCTGGGATACCCTAGCAACCACCTAGCAACAGCCTAGCAACCACCTGGGATACCCTAGCAACCACCGAGCAACAGCCTAGCAACCACCTGTGATACCCTAGCAACCACCTAGCAACACCCTAGCAACCACCTGGGATACCATAGCAACCACCTAGCAACAGCCTAGTAACCACCTGGTATACCCTAGCAACACCCTAGCAACCTCCTGGGATACCACAGCAGCCACTTATCAACACCTTTGCAACCACCTAAAATACCATAGTAACCATTCAGCAACACCCTAGCAACTGCTAACCGCTCGGCTTCTAAACCGGCTGAAGTGTTCTGTGGGAAAAAGTATTTCATTCTAGAATAACCAGCCACACCCCACTATGTCTAAACATGGACTAAAGTATGGACAAAAATTCAGTTTGTAAGATCACTGCTACCACTGTTTTTAGCTTTGCTCATTTTTAGATGGAATGTAGGCACGTAGTTAGCACCATGCTAATTAGTGGGGTACAAGCTTCCGCTGCCTGTGAACTACATTAGCCTCGTAGCTCCAACACTAAAACTAAGGAAGCAACAGATGTCTTGGATGACTGACTACATTTGGAGTGATTCTTTAACACAAATGAAGCCTCCAGTGAAACCACTAGTGATCCCACACGTGTCTTCTGAGTTTTATATGGAATGTTGATGAAGGTAGTGAAAAATCTGAAACAATAAGCTTTCTTTGGGGATTATTTTGCCTTAAAACGCCTTGCTTGTATCCCTCCATCATGAATGGACTTTAAAAAAGTTTAGGCCAAAAACTAAAAACAATGCCTCAGACGTCAGGCAGTGTATTCATAACCATTTCATGTAATAACTTTCTGTGAGGGGGCTTTTAGAGGTGGACGTCTGGTTCCTATCACCACCACTGTGAACCATTCTGACTGTAAGTTTCTCTAGAATGGAGCATTTCACACCAAACCACTCTGAATGACTCTGTTTACATCTTAACAACTTAATTATGCTGAAATCTCAAAAAAATCCTTTAAACAGTATCAGTATTAAGCTGAGTTAGATGTATTTTTAGTATTCTCTGGATTATAAGGCCTCAAAAAAAATAAAAGAAATGATCACCAAATTCTTTCAACATTCGCGCCTGTTAATGACACTGTTTGTGTGGACAGTTGAGGTTTTTCAGAATCTCACTTTCATTTTCTCTCAGATATGTGCTATATGTGAGTTTGATTTACTTGTTGAGTCCTGAGGGGATCTGGCATGGTGATACAGGAGTATGTGCGCTGTGCCTTCACACTCATAAGCACACACACCCCAAACACACACACACACACACACATACGGGGCCCTTAGGGTGCTTTGGCTCCAAACCAAAGTCAGGAGAGGAGGAGAAATGGAGAGATGCACTTGTTCACTATCAGACTGAGAGCATGAAGCACTGACTTACTGTCAGAGATGTTTTAGTGATGTCAGTATTACTGCAGTGTAATAATAATAATACTGCAATAATAATAATAATACTGTATAATAATACATATACATACTCTGACTTTCTCTTTCTCTCTCTCTTTCTCTGTCTCATCACTGTCTCACTCTCTTTCTTTCTCTTTCTGTCTCTAATTTTCTCTTTCTTGCTCTCTCTCGCTTTCCATCTGCCTCTCTCTTTCTCTCTCTCTTGCCCTCTCTCTAGTTGTCATTCTGTCTCTCTGTTATTTCTCTTGTTCTCTCTCTCTCCCCCTCTCTCTCTCTCTGTCTCTGTCTCTCGTGCATTCTCTCATTCTGTCACTCTATTGTTTCTTGTTCTCTTTTTCTCTTCTCTCTTTCTTTCTCTCTCTCTCTCTCTCTCTCTCTCTGTCTGTCTCCTTCTCTATCTCTGTCTCTCTCTCTCTCCCTCTCTCTCTCTCTCCCTCCCTCCCTCTTTCTCTACCTTTCTCTCTCTTGCTCTTTCTCTCTCTCTCTCTCTCTCTCTCTCTCTCTCTCTCCTCCCTCCCTCCCTTTTCTCCTTTCCTCCTTCATTCTTCTCTTCTTTTCCTCTCAGCAGTACTTTATGTTCTGGTACATTATTAGTACAGATCATAGAGACAGAGTTTACTGAAAGAATCTGAATCTAAATCTGGATTTTAATGTGAATGTGTCAACGCTTTATCAGATCAGGCGCAGGTGTTAATGGCCCAGCCTTCAGCAGCAGTGTGAACGCTAATAGGAAAGAAACACTCTAAACGCTCCCAGACCCACCTAGAAACCACACACACACACACACCACACCACACACACACTTTTAACTGTTTAAAGTCAAATAGTTACACTGGCGTACTACACACTTTAAAATGTATGAAGACACTTTTATGTTATGTGATAATGTAATACAGATATATTGCTTGTGGAAAGAAAATGTCAAACCAAGCGGTCTTTATTTTACACAGGACAATTTCCAAACATGGTCATTTTTTAAAATAAACACAAAAAATCAGAATTGGTCATTACAGAATGCAAATGTTCTTATCTAACTAACCATGTTGATCTTCCATTTATGTAATTACATTTGAACTGTACAGAAAAATGGCAGTTCAGTAAGGCCATAGCATATTTCTTTAGGGTCTAGGCATGTGTATGTAAATATATATATGTATGTATGTGTGTGTGTGGGAGTGAGAGCATTGACGATTTCTCTCAGCAGCTCTTTTCACCCCTCACCTCTCTTTCGTTTTCTCTTTCTGGCTTTCCCTCTTTCTTTTCTTTTCCCCTCCCTCACTTGTCCTTGTCCAACAGAAGAGAAGAAAACAAGCGTAAAGCCCTCCGCCCTGCTTACGATGACGGAGTGA